TTTTTTTTTTTTAAATCGAATGTTTCCTAAATAAGCAATTTGTGTTCATTCTGGGTGTCTCATGCTTTCTTTCAGAATAGCTTTTTTGAGATGGAGTTTTGCTCTTATTGCCCAGGCTGGAGTGCAGTGGCATGATCTCGGCTCACTGCAACCTCTGCCTCCCCAGTTCAAGTGATTCTCCTGCCTCAGCTTCCTGAGTAGCTGGGATTACAGGCTCCTGCCAAGGCACCCAGCTAATTTTTTGTATTTTTAGTAGAGACAGGGTTTCACCATGTTGGCCAGGCTGGTCTCAAACTCCTGACCGCAGGCAATCTGTCCACCTTGGCCTCCCAAAATGCTGGGATTACAAGCGTGAGCCACCGTGCCTGGCCCCAGAATAGCTTTTCCTGAATTCCTTGTTAGAATAAAAAGTATTTCACTTTCTGAACACACTGTTCTTTCTTACAGGCAATCTGTACAGAAGCTGGTCTGATGGCCTTAAGAGAACGTAGAATGAAAGTAACAAATGAAGACTTCAAAAAATCTAAAGAAAATGTTCTTTATAAGAAACAGGAAGGCACCCCTGAAGGGCTCTATCTCTAGTGAACCACAGCTGCCATCAGGAAAATGGGAGATTTCTCCATCCCTGAAAGGGATGAGGTTGGGGGAGTTGCCCAGAGGAATCCCTGTTCCCATTGGTTTTTATTAGCAAAACATCCTGTGTCTTTTGGAGTACGATGTGTGAGTGCCCACTGGGTGGCCTCGTCTGTCAGTCACTGTGCAGCAGTCTGCTTCTCAATAAAGCGTGCTCTTTCACAAACACTGGCAGAAGCATGTGGGTGCACCCAGCTGCAGGGAAGCCTCCGGGCAGGAACCTTAGGCTGCGTTCACAGGGAGTGTGGACCTCACTACGCGTTCCCGCATCACACCCCAGAGTGGCTTTCACCAGTAATTCCGGGGTGAGGGAGAACTGATCACAACTACAGAGTCAGGGATATTTATTGTTCAAATAATAACGGCTGAGTTAATGGGTCTGGTGCTTCCAAAAAGACTGAAGAACAGCTTTCCTTTTTGGAAGTTCTGTGGACCATGCGGGTTCTCAGCACTCTGAGGGCAGAAAATAACTACTGGTGTTCCCAAGAGACTAAGGATTCCTAGAGCTATCCTGAAAGTCCTTGTTCTTGGGCTCAGAAACCTCATCCCTTTCAAGGTGTTCAGAAACATGTTGGAACTTCCCCTTCCCTTTCTCCATGTATTTCCTTCATTTCTCTTTCCTTTCTGAACAATTCAGGCCTAAAGCTATTAAGTGGGGCAGATCAAGCTAAGTATTCCCTTAACAGGTGGCCTGGCTTGGGTCATAAGGGCCCACACTGAGTCAGGAGGGTGCATTAATTTTCTGTTAACACTGTAACAAGTTACCGCAGACTTTGTTTAAAAACAGCACAATTTGGCCAGTCATGGTGGCTCACCCCTGTAATCCCAGCACTTTGGGAGGCCAAGGCGTGTAAATCATGGGGTCAAGAGATCAAGACCATCCTGGCCAACATGGTGAAACATCGTCTCTACTAAAAATACAAAAATTACCTGGGGGTGGTGGCGCACACCTGTAGTCCCAGCTACTCAGGAGGCTGAGGCAGGAGAATCGCTTGAACCCAGAAGTCAGGTTACAATGAGCTGAGGCCAGCCTGGGTGACACAGCAGACTCGGTCTTTTAAAAAAAAAAAAAAAAAACAGCACAATTTTATCTCAGTTCTATAGGTCAGAAGTCCAACTCGATGTCTCCAGGCTAAAGTCAAGCTGTTGGCAGGATTGTTCTTTCTGGTGGCTCTAAGGGAGAATCCGTTTTCTTCCTGAGGGTTGTTGGCAGAATTTAGTTTCTTGGAGTTGTGGGGCCGAAGTCAGCATTTCCTTGCTGGCTGCCAGCAGGCCTTCGCCAGTGTGTGAAGGCCTCCCTCCCTCCCGGCCCCTCATCTTTTGCCAGCAGCAGCAGGCTCAGTCCCTCTCCAACTGGCCCTTCTTCCTGTCTTGTCTACTCTTATAGACCCTTGTGATTACACTGGACCCATGCAAATAATCCAGGGTAATCTCCAAATTTTGGTTTATCTTAATTTTAACTCCCAGTTTTAAAGTTTACTATCTTCGTTTTTATCTTCAAAGTTCCTTTTGCTATGGAACAGTCACAGGTTCCAGGGCTTAGGGTGTGGCCCTCTTTAGGGGGCCACTGTGCCTACCACTTTGGACATCACACGTGGGGTGGCCCAGCGCAGGGTGAGGGCAGGGTACTCGTGGGGAGGGCGGGCGTCAGTCCGAGCAGGGTGTGGAGCTGTCGGTGTGGAGGGGTGCCACAGCACAGGGACTCAGCATGGGCAAGGTGAGGCTGGCATCCGTGTGGGGCATGCATGCAGGGCTGGGGTGGTCTGATGTAGGGGTCGCTGTGGGCAGCCTGGCGTGCAGTATGAGAGCCCAAGTGGGTGAGGAAGGCACCTGCGGGGGCAGGATGGTGCGGGAGGGAGGCTGCTTATGTACGGAGGCAGTCTAGGAGGTGAACGGGACGGTGGCAGGTTTATCTGAGGACTTAGATACAGAAAGGACAAAAATGAGAACAACCTCTGTCCACTGGGAGTGTACCCCAACTGCAGTGAGCACCCCTAGACCCAGACTTTGCTTCTAAATATTCTCCACTAAAAGGAGTGAGGACTGATTCCAGGACCAGGCAGGGAAAGGACAAGATGAACCCAAAGTCTGTTTTGCCAGAAAGCAAAGGCATGCTGAAGGAATGAGAGACATGTCCGGAGGACACAGAAGCCTGTGTGAAGGGGCTCCCACTGCCAAATCCGGAAGAGTCTGAGCATCCAAACAGTTAACTATCAATAGAACACAGTAAAGCCCTTTAGGGAACGATACAAATACCGATACATGGAATTGATCTGGAAGTTTGCTGAGGAAGGGGTATTTACAGATTTTGAGAGTCCCCCGCAAAACACTTCCATTGGCAAATCACACAGGAGAAGCACAGCAGACACCATCATCAAGTGGTCAAAAAGCACATCAGTGATGGGCACCTTGAAAGTATGTGCCACCCGTGGGTGACAGTGCTGTCACACGCCTGCCAAAGATGCTCGGCCTGAATCCAGTCATGAAGAAACACCAGGCAAACACAAACTGAAGAACATTCTTCAAATTCAGAACACTTCAAAAGTGTCCACGACCTGAACGTCAAAAAGCTTCTAGTCAGGAGACCAAAGAGATGACAACCAAATGCAACTCGTGATCCAGAACTGGAGCCTTTTCATAGAGGACGTGACCGGGGCCGGAGGACCAGCAGGGAGGACTGCGTCCATGCTGACCTCCTGTTCCATGTCTGGATCACGGGCGGGCAGGAGACTGTCAGCAACTGACCCTCAAATGGCTCAGGAAAGAAAATTATTTGTAACACACTTGTACCTTTTCCATAAGTTTGAGATTAAAAACAAAAAACCACTGGGCGCGGTGGCTCAAGCCTGTAATCCCAGCACTTTGGGAGGACGAGGCGGGTGGATCACGAGGTCAAGAGATCGAGACCATCCTAGTCAACATGGTGAAACCCCGTCTCTACTAAAAATACAAAAACTTAGCTGGGCATGGTGGCGCGTGCCTGTAATCCCAGCTACTCAGGAGGGTGAGGCAGGAGAATTGCTTGAACCGAGGAGGCGGAGGTTGCGGTGAGCCAAGATCGCGCCATTGCACTCCAGCCTGGGTAACAAGAGTGAAACTCTGCCTCAAAAAAAAAAAAACAAAAAAACAAAACAAAACAAAACAAAAAAACCCCCAGCACATCAGTACTGCCTTTTCCTCGCTGGTAATAGCTGAGTCTTTTACTCTAGAGGGACAATCTCCTTCATGTCAGTCCTACAAAAGAAGCTACAGCAAACGCCGGGCCCTAGCGTGTGTCAGCACAGCGGCTGCACCGCACCTACCCCAGCCGCTTCTCCAGTTTGCTTATTGAGCAACATGCTGAAATGACTATTTCAGCAGCGGGTCACCGAGAATTGCAGTGCCAAGCACTGGGAATGCAGGGGTGAACTGCTTGTCAAACAACAGAACTCCCAGAGCACTTTCTTCCCTGGCTTCCTGCACTGGTGAGCCAGACAGGGATTGCCCCGTCTGCCTGCGGAAAACCCACTGGCTCTATGGAGCCCTTCCTCAGTGGAACCATTTGAGGTGAACTCCCCCATCACTCCCTCTGCAGCAAGCATGTCTTCACTTTTCCAACACAAAATAACATGTACCTTACAGGTAGTAGCTACCAGGGCTGCTGGCCTTACAGCTGCCTCCTCCTCCTGGGGACACAGCACAGAGGTGCCTCCTGACCTCCCTCGCCACCATTCCTCTCAGCCATATGTTAATTGTGAAAATGATTCAGCACTAAAAATCTCTTCGGAGGCAGAGCAAGTCTGAAAAATGGATGTGGACGTTTCACTCTGCTCACAGCCCTCAGAAAGTAACACCAGAACCAGCCTTGGCCATCACAGCGTAAGCAGCGTTGCTGCACAAGCACGCCGGGCCCCTCCTGCAGGCAGGCCCGGGGCTGGCGGGGCAGCACGCTCGGCTCTGAGGTGGCTTGGGAACAGGTTTCCCACAGAGGCCACCACTGCCCCAGGCAGCCTTCCACACTCCAGTGGCCTCGGCCCTGCTGAAGAGCGGGTTCTGACTCCATATGGTCAGGCCTGAGTTACTCAGCATCCCCAGGGCATGCTGTCCCTCCAGCTCCAGATGGAGCAGTCACCTCCACAGTGAACTAAGAATGACAAGGAACTTTCCACACACTGCACGCAGGCCAAAACACCAAGTTTTAACTGCGGCTCTAAAGACAAGCAAAATCTCCTGCTCACCAGCCTGGGGAAGACATCCTAGTGCTGACAAACCAAACCTTTATCTCAGAGAAGGCCTGGCAGGGCCACCATGACACCAGCCAAGGGGACGCATCACCCTGCGGGGCCAGTGCCAGCTGCGCTCAGGGACAGAATGGGCAAGGGCGTGGCCACACCTCAACCATCACTGGTTTAATGACCACTTGGCATGACTCCCTGGCTATGTACATATATATACACATGCAAATATATAACATATAAACAGCTTTTGTGTCATCTTCACACCCAAAAAGTGTGCCAGATGTGAGAGGCTGGCAGCCCAGACACATTAATATTGAGAAAGAACATTTCAAAAGCTGAGATCTCCAACGCACACATTCTCCCCTCGTGCCTCCTGGCTCTGCAGGGTGGGCGACTTGGCCTCACAGTTACGGTCCGTTCCCCGCGGCTCTCTAATCCTCCAGCAGCAGCTCCAGCTCCTCCAGTGGCAGGCGCACCCGGAGCTCCTTCTCGGTCATCAGATCCAGGACCTCCTGCATCTCCTCGGGGAAGTACTCCACAGCGTCCAGGTACAACACCTAGGGGCAGGCAGGAAGGCCACCCTGCTCAGCCCGCTGCTTCCCGTCAGCCTGGAGGCGCTCAGGAAGAAAGGGCAGGTTCCTCCTGTCGCCTCCACAGCCCACGCCCCCCTCAGCTCAGACTTTTCTAACTCGGGCCACACTGGGCATGCTCAGGAAGGACACTGAACTCCAGAGTGAAAGCGAGCAAATGCCAAGTGAGACCTTCTCTCTCACAAGGCAGGCCAGGGCTTGCTGGCTGTCACCCTTAGTTTGACTTCTGAGTGTCACCTGACCTGGGCTCTCACAGCTGGGCTGGGACATGATCCCAGCTCTTTCGGCATCTGGGCTGAACTCTAATCAAACGCTGGGAAACCAGCTACCCACAGCAACACTTACATGAAGCACTAACCCCAGGCAGGGCCAGGCTCTGCCTCCGAAAGGACATTTCACCAGGAAAAGGCTCTGGATCTACCTTGGGACAGGGTATGGCGTCCATGAGCCGAGCATCCCCAATGCCACAGGGGCAGGCCAGGAAGACACTAGCTGGGCAGAGACCTGGCAGGGAGTCTTCAGGAAGCTGAAGACACCATGGCGTTAACACTTACCTTTGCCCAAGGACAATTCTGAAGTGCTTTGTAGAATACACCTTTGCTTCTTTCTTTATTTCCTAAGGAAACCTGAGGTGAGGGGAGAAAATACAAAAATGATTAGTTGGCACAGAGAGGCCCAGGCTACACGAACACCCCTGGACTGGCGTGCACCAGCCCCTCGGCTGCGGTAAGCCCGCCTGTGCGGAGGGCCTGGCACCCTCACGGTGGCCGTGCGGCAGGACCAGGTGCCAGGGAGGGCTCTCCGAAGCCACTGCTGTGCGAGGGTCACTTTCCCCCCGCCAAACGGCCCCAGAGTGTCAATCCTGATCACGTCTGACTTTTTAAAGTCTGTATCTTCTCTTCTGCTGTGGGCCGTCACGTCTTGGCGTTAGTGCTTAAACCAAGGAGTGTGCCAGTGAGATGAGGCCAAAGACCTTATTCAAACAGAGAAAAGTTCTTCTACAATACTTAGAAAAAAACAGAAGATACCTACTTTAATACTTGCCATTTTCTGAAAACTATCTTTTAGAGAAACGACAGCCAGGACTGTGATCAGCAACCTTCCTAATGGGGCAAGTGGCATCGGCAATCTCAGTACCACTGTGTGGATGCTCAGCACGCGTTCTCTCTAGATATAAAACCCTCCATCCCAATTCAGCCACACAACCTCCTTCCCAGCCCAGTGTGGAAGGAGACCCAGCTTGAGGCCTCCGACAGCCCCTCTCAGGCCCCTCCAGGGAATGCAGCCCACACGGGCAGCTCCACAGGCAGCAGGCTGTGCAGCCAGGAGTGGGCACAGGCAGGCTGTGGAGCTGAAGTCTCTGTGTTTCCACCCACCCCCTCCTCAGACTCCCGTCCCTCAGAAGAATATTCTAGGGGATGCCAGCCCTGCCCAGCCAAGTGGCCGGTGCGCAGCACCCAGCCTGGGACCAGTGAGGACTGCTGAAACCCGAACAGTGGCATGTAGGGACTCCAATTTACTTCTCAGGAACTCCATCTACCAAGGATGGTCTTACTCCCTTTTCAATTTTTGTTTGCTTGATTTTTTTTTTCAGGGTCTTTGTTGCCTAGGCTGGCTTTGAATTCCTGAGCTCAAGCAATCCTCCCACCTCGGTCTCCCAAGTAGCCGGAACTCCGAGGCCAGTGCCTCTCAGTTAACTCCCACAGGAACCAGAGCTTGACCACCTTGCTTCAGGCAAGGCCCAGGCTGCCTCCAGCCTCTGCAAGTGCCACGCACAGGGCCAGCTGTGAGGCTCGGAGGACTCCTGAGATTCTCCCTGGGGTGAGCCTCCAGTTCTGAGGCTGAGCTTCTCAATTTATAACCAAAGAGCCATTGAGTGCTGCCCTTCCTTCCCATCCCAACATATATCAATGTCCTCTCTCAAGATACGGACAAAATGTAAGCCTTTTGTCCTTTTTGAAAGAAAAAAGAAAAACTGTATGGCTGTACTGTCTCAGCCATACACAGCTAATCCTGGAACCCAACAAACCTGGGTACACAGCTGGCTAGCCTCCCTCAGCGCCAGAGATGCCCTCGCTGTACGGAGATACGGAAGGGCTCGACGCCAAGTGAAAGCTTGGTGATGACAATGTGGGGCTTCCGTCCATGATTCCGTATTCTGAGACGTGGCCTTGTGTGTACCTTTGCCTTCTGACTGGCGCAGAGTCTCGAGGGAGGGAAGAGCTCATGGGCGCTATCTGGCTCTCCTGGTCCTCCTTCCTCACCTTCTAAACTGACAACTGAGACCCCTCCTGAAATTCCTAAGTCAGGATGAAACAACACAGCGAACGACTCTTCTTTGCTGGCGTTCCCATGGTACTGTGTCTGCCACCCCACGGGACTGTGGCCAGGTAAATGTCCCCTCAGGTCTTTGCTGGGAACCTAAGAAAACAGCTAATGGAGGAGCACAACTGCCATGATGGGTCCCTGGGTGAGTGTGTGATTCAGCCAAGGCCAGTCTCCCAGAGGGAAGCGGGACCAGAGACTTCACACACAGGCCTCGTCCCTCACACGAACCCAGGGACTGAATCTCATCCAAACCATCTGAGGAACTCAACCAGTAAGATGCTGGCCGGGCGTGGTGGCTCATGCCTATAATCCCAGCACTTTGGGAGGCTGAGGCAGGCAGACTGCTTGAGCTCACTTGTTCCAGACCAGCCTGGGCAGCATGGCAAAACACTGTCTCTACAAAAACATAAAAATTAGCTGGGCATGGGGGTGTGCGCCTATGCTCCCAGCCAAGGTGTGGGGATTGCTTGAGCTGAGGAGGGGGAGGCTGCTGTTGAGCCAAGATTGCAGCACTGCATTCCAGCCTGGGTGACAGAGCAAGACCCTGTCTCCAAAAAAAAAAAAAAATGCTCATGACTCAGACCTGAGCTGAGCCATTAATAATTCCCCCTCCATGAGTGCGAGGGAGGCGACAGCAGGGGGCAGCTGCCCATCAGCTGCGTCACTAGCGTCCCAAGTGTTCGCGTGCTCCGTGTGGAGATGCTATCTGGTGCTTCGCAATCACTTGTTTTGGCATTTGTCTATCCTCTTAGCCCATGTGTGCCGCCTCCCCATGGGGGAAGCAACATCTCTAAGAAAACAAGGAAGCCGAAGGTCTTCAGGCTTGTGCAAATTTTGATTCTCCTTTACCGCCTTAAAAGCAAATCTGAGCAACTGTGAACTTATACAATTTTTTTAAGTAAGTTAACAAAACATAACCAACCTTGCCCAAACAAAAAAAGATACATTTCTATAATGCACCCTCCCTGTATTCCTGAGAGAAGACTGACACTCTGCTGAGAGGTTTATTCGTTTATCTGTGATAGAACTCAAGGGGCTTATTTTCCCTCCCACCAGCTCTTGTAAATGATGGGCTTTTAGGACATACCGACTCCTGTCAGCTGTCAACAGGATGGAAGAAATTATACTAGAGGGTAAAAGAAAATCTAATGATTCACAATTTAGAAATGCCACTGTGCCCTTTAACTTAAGAAGACCTCTATCAGCAATCCCATGAAATCAGCTAACTGGCTTATATAACTCATAGTTCCTTCTTTACTGTGTAGGTAGATGACCAAATTAAAGGATTTTAAGTATCTTGAAAATAACTGCAATTTTAGCCAAAACAACAAAACAATCAACAAGCCAAGCGCAGTGGCTCATGCCTGTAATCTGAACACTCTGGGAGGCTGAGGTGAGAGGACTGCTTGAGCCTAGAAGTCTGAGGCTAGCCTGGGCAACATGATGAGATCCCATCTTTACAAAAAATAAAAAAATTAACCAGGCATGGGCGTGCATGCCTGCATTCCCAGCTACTCAGGAGGCTGAGGTGGGAGGATTGCATGAGCCCAGGAGGCTGAGGCTGTAGTGAGCTGTGACAGTGCCATTGCACTCCAGCAGCCTGGGCAACAGAGTGAGACCCTATCTCAAAAAAAAAAAAAAAAAAAAAAGTTTGGCTAAAAGTGTACATTCACATTCACAAAATTAAATGGTGTCTCACTATATTTAATCTCTATGGTACTTTCAAATAAACACAAAGCTGCTTTAGAAATGTTGATTTTAGGCCGGGCGCAGTGGCTCACACCTATAATCCCACACTTTGGGAGGCCGAGGCAGGCGGATCACCTGAGGTGAGGAGTTTGAGACCAGTCTGGCCGACACGGCAAAAACCCATCTTTACTAAAAATACAAAAATTGGCTGCAATCATGCCTGTAATCCCAGCTACTCAGGAGGCTGAGGTAGAACAGCTTGAACCTGGGAGGCAGAGGTTGCAGTGAGCGGAGCCTACCACTGCACTCCAGCCTGGGCGTCAGAGGAAGACCTTGTCTCAAAGACAAAACAGAAAACGTTGATTTATTTTTATTTTTTGAAATGGAGTTTCACTCTGCCGCCCAGGCTGGAGTGCAGTGGCATGACCTTGGCTCACTACAGCCTCTGCCTCCTGGGTCAGCAATTCTGCTGCCTCAGCCTCCCAGGTGGCAGGGATTACAGGCACATACCACCATGCCCAGCTACTTTTTGTATTTTCAGTAGAGATGGGGTTTCACCATGTTGGCCAGGCTGGTCTCAAACTCCTGACCTCAGGTGATCCACCCACCTCGGCCTCCCAAAGTGCTGGGATTACAGGCATGAGCCACCGTGCCTGACTGGAAACGTTGATTTTTAAAATTACATTGTAGATTGCATTTTTTTTTTTTTTAAGAGACAAGGTCTCACTTTGTCATCCAGGCTGGAGTGCAGTGGTGTGATCATGACTCACTGACACTTCAAATTCCTGGGCTCAAGAAATCCTTCCACCTCAACCTCTAGAGTAGCTGGGACCAAAGGCTTACACCACCACACCCAGCTAATTTTTTAATTTTCTGTAGAGATGCGGTATCCCATCTTGCTTAGGCTGGTCTCGAACTCCTGGGCTTATGCAATTTTCCCGCCCTGGCCTCCAAAAGTGCTGGGACTACAGGTGTGAACCACTGCATGCAGCCCGAATCTTATCTTTTAATAACAAAACAATCAGGACCTAGAAATTCTTATCAGCAGAATGGCAAAGAAAATAGGTTTCTTTAAAAGGAAAGCTCTTAGACCATTTTGTAAATTGCCGACCTGAAATTAAACTCAGAGAAACCCACATTAAATTCCATTGCACTGAACAGCCCAGTAACTAGTCTTCAACTTCATTCTACCAAGTATTTAGAGGAGACAGACCACTTGCACCCTCTTGCCAAGTCCTGAGAGATGTGACATTATTCCATCAGGATTTCTTAGCGATCCACCAATGCCAAGAAGATGAGAGTGAAATCAGTCCTCCAGCTCTCCCAGGCAGGGGCTACTGGACACCTGCACTTTCTTATTTGCAAAGAAGAAATAGAGCTCTGCGTGAACACACAACATCTCAACATTTTCTTACCAAAAAGTTCAAATACATCCTCCACAGCAAGGGGCACTGGCTGCCACCGTCGCTGCGCATGGCGTTTTCAAACAGGGCTTGGATCCGATGTGTTAAGCCGGTCTCAGGAATCGTGGCGTGGATCTCTCGACCGTCTAACCTGCAAGGCAAAGGCTCACGTGACTCTGACACAAGTTCTCTCATCCTACATCACAGAAGGAAGAGATGCCTTAGTGATGACAAATGTCAGCACAGCCAGATCAGAGAGAGTCAGGAGGGAGCTGTCCCTCAGGCATGGGGTGCTGTGTATGGGGTTGCTCCAAGGCCAGGAGAAGGCACAGACCGGGGGTTCTGTGGTTTCTACACCACACTGAATCTGTCTCAGAGTTACACAAAAACCCCCAAGCCTCTGTTTTCTAAAGAAAGCTACCCTTTAATCAACAGAATGCAAATTCTACTTTACAGGAAGAAAAGGCCTTTAGATTTAAAGTAGAGAAGGCGGGCCGGGCGCGGTGGCTCACGCCTATAATCCCAGCACTTTGGGAGGCCGAGGCAGGTGGATCACGAGGTCAAGAGATCGAGACCATCCTGGTCAACATGGTGAAACCCCGTCTCTACTAAAAATACAAAAAATTAGCTGGGCATGGTGGTGCGTGCCTGTAGTCCCAGCTACTCAGGAGGCTGAGGCAGGAGAATTGCCTGAACCCAGGAGGCGGAGGTTGCAGTGAGCCGAGATCGCGCCATTGCACTCCAGCCCGGGTAACAAGAGTGAAACTCTGTCTCAAATAAAAATAAAAATAAAGTAGAGAAGACAAGGCTCGCGTGGAGGGAACAAAATCCCAATGGAATAAAACGTGAAATATTATCCAAAGGCAATTTTGCCTTGTAAGGTCAGACTGAAGCAACTGCAAAGATTCTGGGAAAACAATGATGCCTACGCTAATGTGTCCCCAGATTAACATTTAACCTTCAGAGAGAAAACGCTGGATCAGGCCGGACGCCCTGGCGCCCTCCTGTAATCCCCGCACTTTGGAAGGCTGAGATGGGAGGATCGCCTCAGCTCAGGAGTAAGAGACCAGCCTGGGCAACATGGCAAAACCCCATCTCTACAAAAACACACACACACAAAAAGCAAATTGGCCAGGCGTGGTGATGCCTGTAGTCCCAGCTACTGGAAAGGCTGAGGTGAGAGGATCACTTGAGCCCAGGAGGTCAAGGCTGCAGTGAGCTGAGACTGCACCACTGCACTCCAGCCTGAACAACAGAGTGAGACCCTATCTCAAGAACAACAACAACAAAAAGAAAATATCGTATCAAAGATGGCAATGAAACACGACACTGCTGTCACTAGGAATGCTGACAGAAGTTCCCAGTCATTCCGCACTCTGTGCCAAGCACCTACCTCACTGACCCTCAGAGAGACCCCTTGAGGTAGGTTCTTCATTCCCATTTGACAGAGAGGGACTATGAGAGGAGAAGTGGCCTGCTCGAGTTCACCCAGGCGAGAAGAGCTGGCACTAGAATCCACAGAGCAGACGCCCAGCTCCTGTGCTCTCAGCTATCAGTCTTTTCTGACAGCTTTTCAGCACTCCCATGGCCTGACGGTCACCACCCATGCACAGAGAAGCAATATTCACACTCCCCAGAGCACACCCAGCAGACAGGGACCAACTCCTCTCCTGAGAGGCACCGCTACTTTGTGTCTGGCTCGCCTTTCAATCCGTTCTTTTTTGAGATGGAGTCTTGCTCTGTCACCCAGGCTGGAGTGCAGTGGCACAATCTCGGCTCACTGCAACCTCTGCCTCCTGGGTTCAAGCAATTATCTTGCCTCAGCCTCCCAAGTATCTGGGACTACAGGTATGCGCCACCACACCCAGCTAATTTTTGTATTTTTAGTAGAGACGGGTTTCACCATGTTGGCCAGATGGTCTTGATCTCTTGACCTCGTGATCCACCCACCTCAGCCTCCCAAAGTGCTGGGATTACAGGCATGAGCCACCGCGCCTGGCCTCAATCCATTACTCTACAGCACTCACATCCCACACAGGTGTTCCGGGCACCATGCCGTGTTCATCCCTGTATTCCCGAGACCCGGCAAGTTGAGGGGAACACAGCCAGCATTCCATAAACATCTGTGGGGCACACGAACAAATGTCTGTCTGGAATTACCTCTGAACAGTTTCCACTAGTCTTTTCCTCATTTTCTCAGCTTCAATTGCAAACAGCCAAGGTTCCAAGAGTTTAGCAGACCTGGTGATTGTGTCAAAAAATCTCCTGGTCTTGCTGGCGCTGTGGGACTTATTCTGAATCTGGACATAGGACCTCCAAAGAACCTGGTTGCCTGGATACAGCTTTAAAGCCTGTGAGAGTGCCTCTCGCAGAGGGGCCAGCGGGTAAACACTCACTTTCATGTGGAATCTCAGCAGGCTTGCATGCATCAGTGTGATGGCTTCGAGAACACTGCTCCAACTCTGGGAGCTGGCACTGTTCCCCTCGCCAGAGCCTTCTGGGAAAACAGAACCGTGCAGTTTGGCAAATACCTGTTCGTATATCCGTACAGCAGCACCAATCCCGATGGTCAAATACTGGAAGAGCATGAAGCATTTGGCCAAGCTAATTAGGCGGGTACAGGAATCGGTGGGAGCTGGATCGGAGACACAGCTGTCACCCAAACAGTCCTGCAGCGCGTGCTCGTAAGCCTTTCGTGCTTTCAAAATGTGAACAGCCAACACCTCTCCAGTATAGGGCCCGTAGGGGCTGCTCTCGGTCAGCTTGGTTAATATGTGAACAGCTCGAGCGGAGGCGGCCCCTCTCACTTCCGGCAACAGCTCCACCTCCAGCTCGGCATAGAGCAGACTGAGCTCACAGAGTTCAGAGTCCTTCAGTCCTTGGCTTCCTGCCGTGCCGAGTGCTGTGTCAAAAACTTTCCTAGCATCCTCTGTGTTGCCAAGCAACCACTCCAGATGGGCATACTGCTTCCAGAGGCAAAAGCTGTTGCGGTTTTCTGGCTCCTTAAGGAGATTCTTGGCGAGTTTTTTGCAGTTCTTCCCTTGTGACTTTAATCTCTTCTTGTTTTTAGTGTGCAGACACCACATGACCTACAGGAGAAAGAGAAGAATGACTCTAGGTGCTCTGTAATTTTAAGGCATCTCTCCACACTGCCAACTCTAGAAAGCATTGGCAGTGTAAAAAAAAAAAAAAAAAAGGCATCTACACTTCCTTCATCACGGGCCTGGTAAACACTGAGGCTCTCTGAGCTGGAAAAGAAATGAGAACTTTAACCAGGGCCACAGGTGCCCCCAGGTTAACAATCCAGGGTTCCAGCTAAAATCTCTATAAACAAGGCTGTTATCTACAAATGTTCTTCTCCATAGAGATGTGGCCACACTTTATCACACCATTTAACACAACCTGGTGTGTGTAATCTGTAGTTAAGACTTCAGAAGTCTTAAGAGAGTCAATACTAACTGTGGCCAGCAGAGGGCAGAACAGCTGATCCGGACTCATTTCTAGCAGATAGAAGGAGGAGGGTAAGTATTATAAGTAGCTTATCTATTTTAATAAGCTCCTGAATGCTCTGACGCTGCTTTAAAACTGTTTCGAGCACTCACTGTTCATGTAGTGACGGGCTGGTAAGGCAAGACAATACAATAAACAGCTCAAGAGTCACTGGGGTTGCCTGACTTGTTCCCGTCTGTCTTCGCTGCAGCCCCTCAGAAGGGCAAACACACAAGGCGCCATCAGGGTCACTGGAGGAGGCGGCGCTGGGGCATAGTTCCAGGGAGAGCACTTGGAGCCTTACAATCCCGTTTATAAACACCGACACGAAATGAAAAGTCCCCAGACACGGGAAGAGACTCGAATTACCTTTCCAATCTCATACTGTAACCAGGAGAAGCAGAGCTGAGACTTCTCTTTGCCTGAAAACAAAGGCATGACCAGGTGGAAGACGTTGCGGATGAACTCCTCACCCTCTCGGTTCTGACCCCTGGTCCAGCGAGGACAGCCCAGCCGGTCCATGCGGCCCACACTGCTGGCCCCGGAAAACAAAGGGTTGAAAAAAGTCAAGGGCTTTTCATCATAAAGTCCATTGTCAAAGATGCTGTTCTCATCCATGGCCAGATAGAGACAGGAGGCTGGAAGAGTGAAGCCAGAAGGCACACCCAAGAACTGCAGAAAGGCCTCCACCAGCTGGAACTGCAGATCTTGGCTTGAAAGTCTGATCAAAGACTGCCCAATATCATCAAACAACACCTGCAACCAAGACAAAAAAAAAAAAAAGTGACCCATGTAACAAACAAAACCTGCACGCTTTTCACCACTCTTTATATGCATGCACTAATGATTCAACATTATTCAAATTAAATACATTTTAAATAGAGAAGAGCTCAGCTCTTTGTTAGCAAAAGCCAGAGGCCTTGCAAGACAACCTGGACAGCGGGAGGGTAACTGTTTAGTGGCCCTGTGGTGCCATAAACATTTCCACATGTGGGGAGGCCTGGGAAGGAGAGAAGACGTGAACGGGTTTAAGGCAGGAGCTTTCAAAGTATCCTGACGGATCTGTAGAAAATCTGGAAACATGTTCACTTCTGAAAGCATACGTAACTGCTTTTGTACTCTGATAACGCATGATTGTGAAAAATTGTTTATTGTAAGATGGAAGATAAGAACTTTGCTATTTGTGGTTTCCTTGGACAAAACTGCCCCAAGAAATGAAAAATATGCTCAAAACTAGATAAACAGGTGCAAGGTAGGAGGGAACCTACAGGAGCGATGGAGCATGTTAAAAGCAATTGTAAGAGCCTAATACTAACTGTGAGTGTCTATAGCTGAGTTCATGTAATCATTTAAAAACATAAGGCCAAGGAGGCCACCCTTTGTGTCCTCGTGCTGCTTATCTGACTGGTCTTTGTGGCTCTCAGCAAAGAGGACATCACAACACAAGCACTATCAACTAGAGTATGTGGGACTCAATCAAAACCATCAATTAATCAGAAAGCTGCTTCTTTGTGTTAAAAATAAATTAGAAAGCTTTTCTTCCCCAGGCTTTGATTATAGAAAAAGCTAAATAGAAGAAGAAATTGCTCGCAGCAGCAGCCTGCTCCAGAAATCTGCTTCCAGGAGGCTGCTGGGACTCGGAGCCTTGAGAAATGACTTCCAGAAGGGTGTGAACTCTACAAAATCCTCAGAAACCAAAGAAAGATTCCACTCTTCTGCAGACATTCAGTTTCAGTGAGGCAAGGGGCCTCAAGGGCAGTCCCCTTAGCCTTCCAGGGAGCTGAGGCTTCCCTAGAAGCTGGCTCCTCCTTCCTTCAAAGACCACCTCTGTCTCTATCCCTACTTCTCTGTGTCCCCACTCCAGTCTGGCCACCCCATTCCCTACTCCTCAAACACTCCTCGCACTCCGCGACCTTCACTTGTGCTGATCCCTCTGCCCAAAGCAGATGCCCCGTCATCAAACAAATATTCCTTCAACATCCAAGAAGACTCACTGAGCGCTCACCACAGCACAAACGCTGTTCTAGGCACTGATGTGACAGCAGTGAACAAAAGGGATAAACTCCTTGCCTTCAGGGCACCTCATTTGTAGAAAAGGTCACAGAACTCCAAGACACAAAATTGGTATCTTGTAAAAATGGATCAATTCCAAGTATCAAGGTAGCATTTCTTCATTTTAATTTAAAACCTCCAGAGCTGCTGGCCACAAAACACAGGGCAGCATGTACCAAGTCACATGGTAACATAAATGAGGTAACACGGGTGAAGTGCCTGGCACGCTAAAGGTGTTCAGTAAACGCTAGTTTCTTCTTCTGCAAGACACGCTGATGTCAACTGTCCAACACGGACCCTACAGCCAGCCCCTCATGTCTTCTAGAGTCCAGTCTACCTGCTACAGCTTCACGGACTCAAGAGTGGGGTGGGCAGAGCGGACACAAGGAAAGCTCTAGGATAGGGATTCCGAGTTTTGTAAACAATCTGTATGTATCCCACAGGGTTCCTTCCATGTGAAAAATTAACTGAATCACCTGGAAGACCATCTCCAGAGGGGTGACCACAAGGGCCCACCACCTACTAGGGGACAGGTGCTCTCTGGTCAAGTGCCTATATGCTCCTATGCTCCCCCATCACCAAGGAAATTCTACAGATACCCAGCAGGAAGGAAGTTTCCACAGATGGAAAGGAGCGGGTTTACATCTCCTAAGCCAGCCAAGTGCTCAGAAAGCTCCAGGGGCCTCCTTTGAGATAACCAAAGTGCACCGGAATGGAAAGCAGGCAGAGGCCCCCGGTCAGCTTCCACCTGGGCAGAGGGTACGTGCCTGTCTCTCAGGATCCTCACAGTCTTCCTCGGTTTGCTTCTTGGTCTTATCAGGGCGCCAGGGCCGCCAGTGCCTCTGGTCTCGGGAACGCTCAGCAGCAAGCCAGATCTGCCACCTGGGAAGAGTCTTATCTTTTATTTCCTGATCGTCCTCTTCTGGTTCATCGTCATCCTCGTCTAGACAAGAATGAGACTTCTTCACCTCATCAGCATATAAAACCACCATCGCCACTCAATCAGCTATGTCAGGGAGTGCTGGGCACCCACAATGCCAAGATGTGTAAGAGCCATGCCAGCCTCCCCAGATACTCTGGGATTTAGGAACTCTATTGTAATCAGTCAAGTCCTCAGGAAACAAGGAGGACAAGATGATAAAATCATAGTATTTTAAATATTACAGTGATTAAAATGGAAATGACACATATTCTACAACAGTACTGTCCCACAGAACTCGCTGTGATGATACAAATGCTCTACGTATCTGCATTAACAGGTAGCCACATGTGACTCACTGGGCACGTGAGATGTAGCTAGTAAGGAACTGAATTCCTTTTTTTTTCTACTTTTTTTTTTCTGAGATGGAGTCTCGCTCTTGTTGCCCAGGCTGGAGTGCAGTGGTATAATCTCGGCTCACTGCAACCTCCATCTCCCAGGTTCAAGCAATGCTCCTGCCTTACCCTCCTGAGTAGCTGGGATTACAGGCATGTGCCATCACTAGGTCTGGCTGATGTTCTGTATTTAGCAGAGACGGGGTTTTGCCATGTTGGTCAGGCAGGTTTCGAACTCCTGACGTCACGTGATCCACCTGCCTCGGTCTCCCAAAGTGCTGGGATTACAGGCATGAGTCACCATGCCTGGACTGAATTCTTAATTTTATTTAATTTTAAATAGCCACATGTGGCTAGAGGATACTGTATGAGACAACACAGTTTTTGAATGCTAAATGACATTTAATGGCAGTATTAGTTTAGATTTTCTTAAGTCACTATTTTTTTAATACAATTTATTTAATAAAAAGTCACTATTATTTTTAGCCAGGGACCTTATAATTAATTATGACCTATGCTCCTTAGAACTTGCCTTTTAAAAAGCCAACTCAGGGTATCTAATACTTTGTTTCCTAACTCTGAACACACAGAATGGAAGAAGAGAAAAGCCAGAGTTACTGTAAAGTTCAATGTTAAAAATAAATAAGGCATATAAAATGGTACAGCCACACAGGAAACCACTGTGGCAGTTTCTTACAAAACTAAACATGCACTTAGCATAACTGCACTCTTGGGCACTTCTCCCAGATAAATGAAAGCCTATGCTTACATACAAACCTATATGCTAATGCTCGGGAGCAGCTTTATTCATAATTGCCAACACCTGGAAGCAATCCAAACATCCTTCAGTAGGTTGAACTGTTAAGCTGTGGTCTATTTACATAATGGAATACTACTCAGCAATAAACATGAGCAAACTACTGATACATGCAACAATATGGATGTATCTCAGGGAAATTATGCTAGATTTAAAAAGCCAGTCTCAGAAAGTTACACACAAAACAACTGTTGCCAGGGATGTGGAAAAATGGGAACTCTTGTGCACTGCTGGTAGGAATGTAAAATGGTGCAGCTGCCGTGAGCCGTGTGGAGAACAGCACGGCGTACTAGACACGGGATTCCCATGTGATGAGGCAATTCCACCGCCGAGAATCTGCCAGAACTAAGACGTTCACGGCAGCATTATTCATAATGGCCCAGAGGTGGAAGCCACCGAAGCGTTCACTGATGAATGGACAGACAAAATGTGGTAGATACATACAGTGGAGAAGTGTTCAGCTTGAAAAAGGAAGGAAATCCTGGTGCGACATGGATGAAGCCTGAAGACACTATGCCAAGTGGAATCAGCCAGTAACAGGTCAATTGCTGTATGATTCCACATATACCAGGTTCCTAAAGCCGTCAAATTCATAGAGACAGACAGTAGAATGGTGACAGCTAGGGCCTGGTGGGAAGGAGAAATGAGGAGTTTGTCTTTAATGGGTACAGAATTGGGGAAGATGAAAAAGTCCTGGAGGTGGATGGAGGTGATGGCTGCGTGACAGTGTGAATGTACTTACTGTCAGTGAACTGTATACTTAAAAACGATCAATTTTATGTTATATACATCTTACAACTAAAAAAAATTGTTAGTAAGTTATATACCATATGATTCCATTTATATAACTTTCATGAGATAACAGGATAAGAGAGAGAGAATAATGTTTCCCAGGAGTTAGGGAGGGGGAAGGGGCAGATGTGGTTAAAAAAGACAGCATGAGGGAGCCTTGCCGTAATGAAACAGTTCTGTATCTTGACGTGGTGTGATTACACAAAGCTACACAAAATGAGAACTGCCTAGTACTACAGAGACACACACACACAAATGAGTGCATGTCAAATGGTGAAATGTGAGTAAACTCTGCAGATTGTACCCATGCCAGTTGCCGGGTTCTGACGCTGTGCTGCAGCGTTACCAGTGGAAGGAACTGGACGAAGCGTGCGTAAACCTCCTAGTACATTTTTACTACTTCTTGTGACTCTATATTATTTCAAAATAAAATATTTTTTAAAACCCAAATAAACACATAATGTATATATTAGCATTCTATTATTCTACCAATATTCTGTCTAAATGCTCTTCTGAGTTTCTTAAAAAAGAAACTAAAATTTAACTATTTATCACCTTCTTCTAAAAATCTGTTTAAAGTAATCCTTTAATCACTCTGAAAAACTCTTTATATATGTATATAGACATATATACACACACACACACACACACACACACATATATATATATATATATATATATATTTTTTTTTTTTTTTTTTTTTTTTTTTTTTTGAGACAGAGTTTCACTCTGTCATCCAGGCTGGCCTCACTGCAATCTCTGCCTGCCAGGTTCAAGCAATTCTCCTGCCTCAGCCTCCAGAGTAGCTGTGACTACAGGTGCCCACCACCATGCCCAGCTAATTTTTCTGTTTTTAGTAGAGATGGGGTTTCACCATGTTAGCCAGGATTGTCTTGATCTCCTGACCTCATGATCCACCTACCTCATCCTCCCAAAGTGCTGGGATTACAGGCGTGAGCCACCGTGCCCAGCCTGAAAAACTCTTAAAAGAGAAATTACCTTTGTGAGCCATATATCAGACTTAGACACCTGAATCTACTACATTACGGACTCAAAAGATTACATGGCTTTGGACAGACATTCATGAATAACAATTACACACTAACAGAAAGTAAGGACAAGAGAGAAGAAACACGCTATGAGAAACGCTCAAATGTGTGATGAAATCAACTATCCTCTAAATGCTAACCTTGTCAGGATAACTAAGAGAAATTAAAAATAAAAACAAAAACTGATTAACTAGGTCTGCTGGAATCAAGAAATTTTGCAGCCTTTCTTTTGACCCTCCTAGTGTTTTGGAGGACTTCCATTAAACTCATTAGAAAGAAATTCATAAACAGCAAAAGTTTACCCATAATGGGAATGTGTGAGAAGCTTGCAGAGAATGTAAGTACCAACACAAGTCTCTAACTTGATGCTAGAAGTCAAGGTTTTAATATTAATTTGCGGCTTAATTTGCAGCCAGGCTCAGTGGCTCACACCCATAATCCCAGCACTTTGGGAGGCTGAGGCAGGTGGATCATGAAGTCAGGAGATCGAGACCATCCTGGTTAACACGGTGAAACCCTGTATCTAATAAAAATACAAAAACTTAGCTGGGCATGATGCCACGCACCTGTAGTCCCAGCTACTTGGGAGGCTGAGGCAGAAGAATTACTTAAACCCAGGAGGCAGAGGTTGCAGTGAGCCAAGATCATGCCACTGTACCCCACCCTGGGTGACAGAGCAAGACTCCATCTCGAAAAAAATATATATATATGTGTGTGTGTGTGTGTGTGTGTGTGTGTGTGTGTGTGTGTGTGTATATATATATTTAAATATATATGTATTTTTTAAGTGACCATTAGACATCTGGAAACTTATCAGAAGTAAAATTATTCTGTGGATACTACTATGAAAACTTTATCATCACAGAAATAGAACACAGCCAACTGTGTAACAGATACTATGCTTGTAATGGGCTCGCTCTCTAACAAAAACCAAACAAAACCAAAAAACCGAAAAACGAAACCTAAAAACACAGCCCTTTGCTAAGTCAGTCACTCAGAGAGTTACTAATCAGACTTCTGTTTCTTGGCTCTTGCTCGTGCGGTCTTGCAGACTCAGTGGCTGAGTGCAATACCTACTTCCGTTTCATGCAGGCTGTTTTTCTTCATATATAAAACCACTGGTTAGCCTGAGCAGCAGTTCTCATTCTTTTTAGAAAGGAATACTCTAGGGAAATCTAAACAGCTGAGCCTCCAACAGCCCCAAGTGAGGCATGATCACTGTCTGATGGCACTCCCCAGAGGAGAGCTACCCTAAAACACCTGAAGGGCCCCTCTCACTTCCCAGTGGTAACAGAAATGCTAGCCTGCAGCTCTGAACTGCCATGGAAACAATACCTAATCCGAAGTTTTCATGGTGCCAATGAATAAACAAAGAAGGTCATACCTCGCAAGGAGCCATTCTCCTGAGTCCTTGTCCATTGCTCTTTCCCTACAGAACTTTCAATGAAACCACTGCCTGGCAGATCTCCCTCTATGCTGGAACTGCCTTTGTGAAGCAGTTCCTAAATGTCTAAGAGTTGTGCTGTCCAATACGTTGCAAGTAATACATGGCTATCAAGCACTTGAAAAGTAGCTAGTCTGGGCTGGGTGCCATCTGTAACTGCAGCACTTTGGGAGGCTGAGGTGGGTGAATTACTTGAGGTCAGGAGTTCGAGACCAGCCTGGACCAACATGGTGAAACCCTGCGTCTACTAAAAATATAAAATTAGGTGGGCATGATGGTGCATACCTGTAATCCCAGCTAGGTGGGAGGCTGAGGCGTGAGAATCCCTTGAATCCAGGAGGTGGAGGTTGCAGTGAGCCAAGATCAAGCCACTACACTCCAGCCTGATCGACAGACCGAGACTCTGTCTCAAAAAAAAAAAAAAAAGTAGCTAGTCTAAACTGAGATGTACTAAAAAAAGGATACAAAATACCTAGTTAACAATTTTTTTCTTTTTAAAGCATGCAATTGGCATCTGAATCTCTGGTTAATTTTAAAATATTGATTACATGCTAAAATGTTTTGATATACTAGATTAAATAAAATATACTATCAAAATTAACATCATCTGTTCCTTTTTACTTTTTTAAAGTGGCCATTAGAAAATCTGAAATTATACAAGTGGCTCGCATTGTATTTATATTCGACAGCTCTGTGTTAGAGTATAAATCTGGAAAGTACTTTGGGTCATCTAGAATGACAGTTATATAACTGCTAAGTAATACTTTATAATATTCCTAAAAAGGTAAAAAGGTAAGTTTTTTTTCAAGTATCTGTTGGTCTGTACATTGCCAGGACGACAAAAAGACTGTCTGAAATACATACTAAAAAAGAATGGGGTGGGGTATGGTGGCTCACACCTGTATCCCAGCACTTTGGGAGGCTGAGGCAGGCAGATCACTGAAGGTCAGGTGTTTTTGAGACCAGCGACCAGCCTGGCCAACACGGTGAAACCTCATCTCTACTAAAAATACAAAAATTAGCTGGGCGTGGTGGCAGGAGCCTGTAATCCCTACTACTCAAGAGTCTGACACAAGAGAACTGCTTGAACCCTGGAGGCAGACGGTGCAGTTAGCTGAGACAGCGCCACTGCACTCCAGCCGGGCAAAAGAATGAGACTCCTCCATCTCTTAAAAAAAAAAAAAGAAGAATGGGGGTTGGGGTGGTTATTAACAAGGGTCTTTCTTCAGCTGCAACCTATAAAAGGAAAAATTACAGAAACTTTCAAATCCCGAAAGCATTATGTACTGAAGGAGTAAGTGGACTGCTTTAAAACTTCTATGGGGAAGAAACAGTCCATTCTCCCATGACATCTATGTAACATTTTTGACATTTTGATTTTTGTGCAATGTTCTGAAGCTACAGATAAATAGCTTAAACAGATGAACAAATAATCATGAGGATGTAAAAACAAATTCCAGAGGAAAAAGATGTACACGTCTTCACTGGGAGGTGACTTACCTGGGTTGATGACCACCCAGCCACCTCGCTCCTGCTGGTGCATCCACGCCTTCCAGCCTCGGGCTCCCTTCTCCCCAGCCCGGGGCTCTCCACTGTCCCAAAAGGGCTCAAAGAATTCTACCTGTTCAGGTTTTAGAATAGATGTCAGACTTCATTTGTACAAAACTGCTGAGTCAGTGGGCAAAATGAAGCGTATGATCCTTGAAATCACGTTTGCCAACAGTCTTTGAAGTAGATACATGCTACATACCCAAAGATAGAAAAAAGAATGATCTACTGTGACAGGCAGCTTCCAAGACAGCCCCCACAACCTGACCCCTGCCTCATGGTTTTCATACTGGCATGTGAGCTGGACCTGGTGATTCTAACACAAGACATATGGCAGAAGTGATGGGAAGTCCCTCCTGAGATTAGGTTACAGAAAGACCAGTCAAGGTTCAGCAAGAAGGGTCTCCAGCTGCGTAGGAAGTGGTTTCCTAGTTCTTATCTTGCCAGGCCAGTCTAACCATGGACAGTGGCACTGGCAGTTCACCTAGTGCCACTGACCCCCAAGCTAGTCCCTAAAGTCATGCTGCTTTCAAGATATTTTGAGAGGAAGGTTCCAACAAGACAGACTAGGAGCTCTTGAGCACCATCATACCTTAAGTAACTATATATTTCTAACACCTGGCACAATACTCAATGCCTAACAGGGACTCAATAAATACCTGTTGACACAGATCCAAACAAGGTAGGCAACCAGGGAATAAAAAGGTCTGCTTTTTTTTTTTGAGAGAGAGAGTCTCACTCTGTTGCCAGGTGCCAGGCTGGAGTGCAGTGGCGCAATCTCGGCTCACTGCAACCTCCACCTCCCGGGTTCAGGCAATTCTCCTGCCTCAGCCTCCCAAGTAGCTGGGACTATAGGCGCACACCACCACGCCCAACTAATTTTTGTATTTTTAGTAGAGACGGGGTTTCGCCATGTTGGCCATGATGGTCTCGATCTCTTGACCTAGTGATCCACCCGCCTCGGCCTCCCAAAGTGCTGGGATTACAGGCATGAGCCACCAAGCCTGGCCTACATTTTTTTTTTTTGAGATGAGTTTCGGTCTTGTTGCCCAGGTTGGAGTGTGCAATGGTGTGATCTTAGCTCACCACAACTTCCGCCTCCCGGGTTCAAGGGATTCCCCTGCCTCGGCCTCCCAAAGTGTTGCAATTACAGGCGTGAGCCACTGCACCCAGCCTAAAGGTCTGCATTTTAAAGCCTGGCCCCATTAGCGCCTCCCTCATTCATTCGTGCATTAGATCTGCAGTGTGTGGTAAGCAGCTCACTGGCAATAAATCTTTCCCTATGGAACAGAACGTGAACACTGTAATGAACAGAAATGTGATCATGTTATCAACTGGAAACAGGACTGTAAAGGTGAGCCAATAACCTACTCAATGAAAGCTTTTGTAAGAAACCTTTTGAAGAGGACAAGCAGGCTTCCAGTGGGCACAGCAAGGGCCAGGAGCCCCAGGATTATCCAGCCTGAGCCCTGGGCAGTGCCACACACGCCTGGAAGAGCATGGCCTCCAGGAGAGTCACGTCAGGGCAAGCGTCCTGACACGTCAGTCGTCCTCAGGAAGGGGAACCAGGAAGACTACGCGCCCTCCTTAGAGGTCTGGCTCTTGTAAGAGAAAAGAAAGTTTACTCAAGAAAAAGAAAGGTTTTTTTTTTTAAAAATAGTGTGATAAATGAGTATAATCAATTTGTTTATTCCGCAGAAACACAGACCAGTAGTATCAGACCTGCCTGTGTTAAATCACGCTACTATGTTTATGGTAACAATGTCTCTCAGTTATAAAGGCAATATGCAATGTGATTAAATAAGAAACTTTATTCCAAAGCTGTCATGTAAATGCTTTGGAATTACATGCGCTGTAGCACATGGATCAGGGTTGAGAGCAGTGGTCCTTGATGGATCACATTTGTAGGCAGAGCCCCCCACCCATCGCTCTGTTCTTATCACAGGGGATCTTATGAAAGGGGCGGGGAGGGGGTGAGAGAAATTCAGATCCTGACCCACAAGACTCCTTAGAGTCAGCTGAGAAGCACTTCTGTAGTACAGCCTGGTCTTAAAATCTCAAAGCATGCCTTAAAATGACTTTGTTACACGGCTTATTAATAATCAATTACAGCAATTTAAGTAGTATAATTCTTTAATCCAACTTTTTCTAGAGGTAGCATGATAAAAACGGTCTCTACTGGCAATTCATAAAACCCACACAATGGAGACCTTGGCCTCTCAAGAAACGCTTTTGAAATGTTCACCGTAAATTCAGATATTCTATTTATCTTCCACTAGACATCTTTATAGAGTAGAAAACTGAGTTGTCTTTAGTGGAAAAAGGTAAAAGATACGTTTTCTTATTTGTACAGCTCTATAAAAATTGTTTATTTCTTCACTTCATGTATCTCAAACACTGGCAATGCTCGCTTGTCATCTAAAAGATTAATCCTTCCCCATCAGGATCATGGCTGACAAGGTGCCTACGTGTCATTTCATTTGAACTCTAGCAAAGATTGTGGGTACTTATTAGGTTCATTGGGGAAGTGATGCAAGACCCAAACTGGAACGTACAAGGGTGGAAGAGACAGTAAACCTTCATAGAAGGTTTAAAATGGCATGACAACTGCTTCCCTGACTGGGGGAGCTAACCAGCACTGAAACAAAGGCAGAAAGAGAAGAGGGGAAGGAAGGAAGGAAGGAAGGGAGGAAGGGAGGAAGGAAGGAAGGGAGGAAGGGAGGAAGGAAGGAAGGGAGGAAGGGAGGGAGGAAAGAAGGCAGGGAGGGAGGGAGGCAGGCTTCCAGGGTGGGTCCTCAGAAAGCCCTTATGTTGTGAAGGAGGGGGAAGCTTCTTTTACCTATCCACATCTCACTAGTTTCATTACAAAACTGCTTGGATAAGTGGACTATTTCTCAGAAGTCCTCCTCAGCAGACTGATATAAAGGAGGATATGGTATTTTAAAAACACTACCGCCACCTCTCATTACCCACACCTTCCCCCTCTCCCTCCAGAGAAGGAGATAGAAAGGAGAGAGATGAGGTGAGCCGAGCTGGGTACCTGTCCTTTGGTAGGCATATCTTTCAGGCTGTCGGGTTTGAAGAATGTGAAGTCCACCATGGCCTGGAACAATGAGATGGCCTTCTCAGAGTGGCCGGCCTGCCGCAGAAAGTGGCAGTGCTGAAGAAAGAGGGCTGCAAACAGGACGGCAGAGGGGAAGAGGCCTGGTTGGTACCATTAAAGGGAAAGAACGTGACTTCTCAAAAACAGGCAATTAACACACCTTTACCTGCAATCACTGTTAATTTCCAAAGCTGTGATACATGCCCTGATTTACAGTGACTCAAACAGTATTACAATCCAAGTAGGTTTGTTCTAATTCTTGTACAAAACACAGAACACAAATATTAATAATAAAAACTGTATATAGTACATAAAAATAAGTCAAGAGGTTGGTCTGAATGCTATCAAATAATCAGAGTTCATTATTACAAGAAAAACAATAGAAAAAGGATGGCGTAGCAAATTTTTATCAGAAAGCAAAGAGCTGTATTCAATTGATCACTAGATGGCATGAGTCACCAGCAACTTTCATCCCATGTTCAGAGTCGGCTGTAAACAAATCAAGATTCCACGTCTGAACGCTGCAGTTCATCTTACTTGTGGTACAATTCCAGATACTAAATAACAGCTATTTGAGTAGATCACAAGCAGTAACAAATTCAAGACTCTGTGTCAGTGTGACACATGCTTATCATTTTGGGAGCAATGCATTTCTATCTTTAGATGCCAACAGGAATTAACGTGCAACAGCAGGGGTCGTGATCAAATCAATCCCCGCTCTGTGCCGGACACTGAGCTAGACTCGTCACAGATTATCTCCTTCACTGCACACCACAGTCCTGTAAAGCAGGTTTATAGCATTGCTGCTGACAGAGAAAACAGAGCTCAAAGAGGACTTGCCCAAGGACACAGCAGAGCCTTCACGTGCCCAAGGACACAGAGGTAAAGCCTTCAGGATTCAAGGTCAAGAGTGATTACTCTGGCTCTGCATAACATGCAGCCTCCGACATCTCATTACTGCCAAAATTTATAATCCAGGCTCCTTCAGGACACACCAAAAATGTTAACAGCATAGTAATACCCACGACTTCTATTTATGCAATGGTTCTCAGTCAGGGCGTCTCACGGACATTACTGCCAGGGACTCTATAATTGGGTGAGATAGGTACAAGCATCTCAACAGATAAGGCCATCAACTGCCAAAGCAGTTAAGAGACTGGCCTATGTTTACTTGGTTAATAAGCAGAACCCTGTCCAGTGATATTTTCTTAACTCTACTGGCTCTATTGCCCCCACCCGTCCTGGGAGCTGGGGGCAAATCTGTTATCAAGAAGAGTCATAATACTATTTGTTTTTTTTTTTTTTAAGGCGGAGTTTCGCTCTTGTTACCCAGGCTGGAGTGCAATGGCGCAATCTCGGCTCACCACAACCTCCGCCTCCTGGGTTCAGGCAATTCTCCTGCCTCAGCCTCCTGAGTAGCTGGGATTACAGGCACGCGCCACCATGCCCAGCTAATTTTTTGCACCTTTAGTAGAGACGGGGTTTCACCATGTTGACCAGGATGGTCTCGATCTCTTGACCTTGTGATCCACCCACCTCGGCCTCCCAAAGTGCTGGGATTACAGGCTTGAGCCACCGCGCCCAGCCCATAATACTATTTTTAAAAAATCACTTCTATCAAACAATTTAGACTTTTTCTAGAATAAAGCAAAAACAGATTTTCATTTTCAAGTAAAGCCAAAAGAAAGTCTAACTCCTCCCACATAACTGGATCTGGTTATCTCCTTACCAAACATGGCCTCTTCTGTGCCAGGCAACGCAGGGTGAGATAAGATGCTGCCATCCTTCACAGCAGACAAGGTGCTCAAGCATTTTCCATAAAGACTGTGAATTTTTGATATTGAAAAGGTACTAAACTGGCTCTGGCAAAACAAAAGGTATTTCTGCCAAAGGACCGTATTATTGGGATGTAAAAATATCAGTTTCTGCCACTCTTTGACCAGAGTGGAGGGCTCCCAGAACTCTGTGCAGAGCTTCAGCTTGGCCAGTTTCAGATCCACACTGCTCTGGTTGCTCTCAATGGCCCGCTCCAGAATGGCCAGCTTCTTCTCCAGAATGAGCTTCAGGGACCTCTTTCGCTTTTCCTGCTCTCCTTCCTCGATGGCATACAGGCCAGGACTTTTCATGACCTCGTCCTCAACAACAAAAACACCAATTTACAAATGCAAATAGACCTGGGGGATCCTGAGAGTTTCAACAATGCTTAGCGACTTTCTTACCACCCCCTAGGGAAATGTCATTCAGATTTTCTTAAATCACTGGTTTGCCACAATTTCTTTTAAAGAAAATTTGGATCCTAAGGTGCTTGTGTCACCTGGTATATCTGATCTTGTGCTTATTTGGATCCTAAGGTGCTTGTGTCACCTGGTATATCTGATCTTGTGTTTATTACTTAACTGTCCACTTTTTGTCATTTGAAACTTTGATTTCTATATCAATGACTAACAAACAATGCCTTGAAAGTCTTTCTTAAGAGCAGACATTACCAATAAAAGGGCCAAATGTGGGACAAAATATGGTAATTGTATGACTGGTTCAAAACGAGGGACTCAGACAAACCCATACGTTTTCCAAAGGGAGCGCATGGCTCTAACTGGGTAATACACTGGGCAGCCCTTTCTCTTTCACAATTCTGTGAGCTCTGCCCTTTCTGTGTACTTCAGGAATGCCTCTCCCTATCTGGTGAACGCCTCTTCTTTCACGATTGTGTTCCAGTTTCCCCTTTTCCTTCTTGGTAGCCCTTTCTCCTCCCTCACTGTAAGTCACCTCTCACTCCACTCCCAAGTTACACATTACAGCATTTACTACCCCAGGGTGCACTCATTCTTCACATGGCCATCTTCCTCAATGGACTTTTGAGCAAGCTCAGGGCAAAGGCTCTCTTCTAATCATCTCTGTATACCCAGTGTCAAATTTCCTCATAAGCTCAAAAACTGCTGCAGAGTCCATCAGTTCGCCCACAATCATGAATGTTCCTCTAAGGTAAGAGAACTGGGATGGCAACACATACCTGAAAAGCAACAAATGCCATCCACAGCTGCGTATCCCGCGGATTCTCCCGCACCCTCCTGTTGAACTCCTCCACCCTGGCCTTGAGAGCCGCACTCTCGCTGTCTGGCTGTGTGTCTGGCTGCTTGGATTCCTGCTCTGGAGGACCCTGTCCTTGTAACCACTGTGTAGTTGACTGATCATAAATCCCCAGAGGATTCAACCAGGTTGTAACAGGAGCTGCATCTTCCAAGTCCTTCACTGGTATAAAGGAGGCGGGGTCAGATGATGGAGGTTCAGTTTTACTGCTAATGGCAACTCCATCGATGTTCATTAACCCCACACTCTTCTTAGTAAAATAGCGTTCAACCTGCTTGTGTGAATGCTTCTTCTCTGTGGAAGTCCCTTCCCAAGATATGCGTTGCTTCGCAGGATTAATGCCAAGGCAGGAGTCTCCTTTCCTCTTGTATCTTATATTAGGAAAAGAAAAAATGTTACTGAGGGAATATGTGCACTACCTCTGAATGATTGAAGGCTCATTAGACTCTTGTTATGCAAGTTAATTGCATCTAGCCAAATTCACCTTACCTTCAAAGTGTTTCTATTTGGAGATATACAAGGACCAGCAATTAACTTTCTTTCTGCTTGGCTTGACTTCTTCCTGTAACACTTCAGCTTTTCATTAACATCTCATGAATTTAAGATCATGCCTGTCTGCTAGATCTTAGTAATTTCTATTTTCCTGAAGCCTTGTAAAGAACTGTCACACACATTATGTTATTCGATCATCACAGCCACATGTGACAGGCAAGGCAATAATCATCTTCCCTCTTTTTTTTTTTTTTGAGACGGGGTTTCGCTTTTGTTACCCAGGCTGGAGTGCAATGGCACGATCTCGGCTCACCACAACCTCCGCCTCCTGGGTTCAGGCAATTCTCCTGCCTCAGCCTCCCTAGTAGCTGGGACTACAGGCACGCGCCACCATGCCCGGCTAATTTTTGTATTTTTAGTAGAGACGGGGTTTCACCATGTTGACCAGGATGGTCTTGATCTCTTGACCTCGTGATCCACCCGCCTCGGCCTCCCAAAGTGGTGGGATTATAGGCGTGAGCCACCGCGCCCGGCCTCATCTTCCCCTCTCTTAACTGTTCTTAAATGACACAGGCCTGGGAACCTGGATCATCTGTCTCCTAGACTAGTCCTGTTTCTTTAATATTTTCCTGTATCCCTACTTAAGAAGATAACATAGAGGCCTAAGATTCTTTTTTTAATCCTGAAACAAAGTATGTCAAATGAAATTACACTTGGTTATTTTCTACTCTAGAGAAAGAGGCTGGGTTCTACAATGCTTTTATGGAACGTGTAGGTGTCCCCAGAGTTAACAAACACATGACTACTAAATATTTGCACAGGCAAAAGCTAAGGAAAATTGTACATTTTTCTGTATGTATGTTAGCAAACAACTCAATTTTAAAAATGGACAAAAGATCTGAACTGAAATTCCACAAAAGAAGACATGAATAGCCAATAAGCACATAAAAAAATACTCAGTATCATTAGTCAACAAGGACAGGCAAATTAAAACCACAATGAGGTACCCCACACACCAACTAGAACAGTTTTTAATATTTAAAAGGCTGACAACACCACATGTTGGTGAGTAACCTGGGGAGTGATCAGAACTCTCATCTGCTGTCAGCGGGAATGTAAACTGGTATAATCACTTTGGGAAAAGATCTGGCTATTTCTTAAAAAACTAAACACAGACCTGACCTATGACCCAGCAATTCTATTCCTACGTATTTACCCAAGAAAAAGGAAAGCACATGTCTACACAGAGACGTGAGCACGAATGTTCTCAGCAGCTTTATTCCTAGCAGCCGAACACTGAAAGCGTCCACATGTTCACCAACAAAAGACAGAAAAGTAAATGGAGGTATAGCCATACAATGCAACACTACCAGCAGTAAAAACAAGCTACTGTTAAGTGCCTTACGGATGGATGGATCTCAAAAACATTACGCTGACTGAAAGAAGCCAGATACAAAAGAGTACACACTGTGTAATTCCACTTACGTGCATTTTAGAACAGGTAAAAACTAATTGATGGTGGAAAAAAATTAGAACAGTGATTGCCTCTGGGAGGATGGGGTGCAGAGACCAGAAAGAGCACGAGGACACTTTTGGGGGTCATGGTAATATTTCACATTTTAATAGAGGTTTGGGTTATACAGGCATGTTTATGTTTGCCAGAACTCAAGAGAATGAAGCTTTGTGCATTTACACTGCATGTAAATTTTCAATCAAAAGAATAAAACTAAATACTGACCTCTAGTTAATAATACACACACTGAAGTAGTTGGGGGGTTGTTTATTGATCTAAGTGTACTTTGAAATGCATCAAAAAAATAAGATGGGTTGATGGACGGACAGATATGATAAGCAAGTATAGTACAAGGTTAATGGTAGACGTAGGGGCAGGAATACGAGCATTCACTGTAAAATTCTTTCAATTTTTACTGTGTATTAAAATTTTTTCCTAATAAAACTGGAAATGCTGTGGGGAGCAAAAGGCAGGGGAGAACTGCCTTCATCTTCTGTCAGCTCCCAGGACGCACTGCTCCACTTCACCCTGGTTCGGGGCCGGGCTCTCTCCCATCACCTCTATGGCTTCTCCACCGCCAACAGGTCCCCTCTCTGAGTGCCTCTGCTCCACTCACTAACCACACACGGTGCATTCCACTGGAGGGGACTATTTTCTCACACAGACATAAACATTCTCTCTCAAACCCTTTAGTCTCACTCCCAATTCTTTCTGGATTTTCGCATGATAATCTCTTGCCATTCCATTTATGAGTCAAAAACGACCTTAACAAAGGTGTGATGAAATAAAATAGCACTAATGTAGTTCTAAACGAGGCTGTCATTCCCTAAGGAACAAACTTGAAGTTAGAAAGCTAGTTTTGTTCTCCTTAATTCTCTGTTAATACTATTGATTCCTCATTAGTCTCACAAAAAATATACAGTATTTCAGATATTCATGAAAACTCCTGAAAAATGTTTACTGTTCTGACTTTAACAGCTGCATTTGTGTAAATTAGATGAAAATGATAAGAGAAGGAAAAAACATGTTACCGGCCTATATTACTATCTACTTTCAGACGCTACATGTCTTTCAGTGTGTATTTACTGTGTGCACATATATCCTTTAGTTTTTGTTTTGTTTTGTTTTGTTTTGTCTGAAGCAGAGTTTTGCTCTTGTTGCCCAGGCTGGAACGCAATGGTGCGATGCCGGCTCACTGCAACCTCCGCCTCCCGGGTTCAAGCGATTCTCTTGCCTCAGGCCCCCGTATAGCTGGGATTACATACATGCACCACCACACCCAGCTAATTTTGTATTTTTAGTAAAGACGGGGTTTCTCCATGATGGTCAGGTTGGTCTCAAACTCCCGACCTCAGGTGATCTGCCCACCTCAGCCTCTCAAAGTGCTGGAATTACAGATGTGAGCCACCACATCCAGACGTCCTTTTTAAAAACAGTTGATATCACTCCAGCCTGGGCAACAGAGCAAGGCTCTGTCTCAAAAAACAAAAACAAAATCAGCTAACTTTCACTTGAATAATTCCAAGTGAAATTAGTTTATTAGTGAAATTAGTGAAATTCCAGGTGAAAATAGTTTCAAGCCATCCTTCCTACTTATAAGCATTTCTGCATACCATTAATCTTAGAAAATATAATTTTTATTGACTTCAAACTGTTCCATTGGATGGATGTGCCATAATTTATTTAACCACTTCCCTACTGTTAGACATTTAGGTTGTATCCAATTTACTTAGCATAAGATCTTAATAATTAGAACCTAGGCTATAATTTAACACAATATCCTCCCAAATGAAGGCATTTTTCCTATAAAATCCTTATCAAATAATCAACTAATGGCTGGGCATGGTGGCTCACATCTGTGATCCCAGCACCTCGGGAGGCTGAGGTGGGTAGATCAGTTAAGGCCAAGAATTTGAGACCAGCCAACATGGTGAAACCCTGTCTCTACTAAAAACACAAAGATTAGCCGGGTGTGGTGGTACATGCCTGTAGTCCCAGCTACTTGGGAGGCTGAGGCATGGGAATCGCTGCAACCCTGTGAGCCAAGACGGCACCACTGCACTCCAGCCTGGGCAACAGAGCAAGGCTCTGGCTCAAAAAACAAAAACAAAATCAGCTAACTTTCACCTGAATAATTCCAGAAGTAGGAACCCCCACTTTGTTTCAACATTCCATGAATGCCGTATGTATATTTAATTTAAATGAATGCAGCTACTGGCACTTGGCCATAAACAAAACAAAACTAAAAACGCAGGGAGCGGGGAGGGGCAGAGGAAGATAGAGTGCATTTTACTGGAGCACACCATTCTGCCCAAAATCTACTCAGTGGGTCTGCACCCCAGGAGGAGTGGGGCTGGCAACACGGACTTGCCTTTCCTTGCTTGGCTTCCATTCTCAATGCCCTCACAGTGCCAGACTGGTCAGTCCAAATTCCAACCCCACTATTTACTAGTTGGGTGACTGTGATCAAGTTAAAAATATATAAAATAAAATTTAAAATGATCGGTCTGTGCCTCAGTTTCCTCATCTGTAAAATGCAAATAGCATGCCTATATCATGCAGTTGCTATTAATTTTTTTTTTTGAGACAGAGTCTCGCTCTGTTGCCCAGGCTGGAGTGCAGTGGCACGATCTCAATCGTGACTCACGGCAACCTCCACCTCCCAGGTTCAAGCGACTCTCATGCCTCACACTCTTGCGTAGCTGGGATTACAGGTGTGTGCCACCACACCTGGCTAATTTTTATACTTTTAGTAGAGACAGGGTTTCACCATATTGGCCAAGCTGGTCTCGAACTCCTGACTTCAAGCAATCTACCCACCTTAGCCTCTCAAAGTGCTGGGATTACAGTTGTGAGCCAGAGCAGATGACTAAAAAAAATTTTTTAGGGTCTCCCTCTGTTGCCCAGGCTGGAGTGCTATGATGCAATCATAGCTCACTGCAGCCTCAAACTCCTTCAAGCAGTCCTCCCACCTTAGTTAGCCACCCGAATAGCTGGGACTATAGGCACATGCCACCATACTCAGCTAAGTTTTAAAATTTTTGTAGGGATACAGATTCACTATGTTGCTCAGCCTTGTCTTGAACTCCTGGCCTGAATCCATCCTCCTGTGTTGGCCTCCCAAAGTGCTGGGTCTACTACAGGTATGGGTCACTGCACTTGGCCAAAAATGTTTATATATGTAAAGTCCTTAGAAGAGTGTCTGCCATATAATGAGGGTTAGATAAGTTTAAATTATTATTATTTTATCAAAGTTGGCTCCTAAACATAAGCCAAGTATTTTATCTGGTGTATAGCCAAAGAAATAACAATCTATTCCAAAAATGGAGAAAAACTGAGCTAAACTTCACCATCAGACAGTATATTAGTCTTAAGGAATTTTCCAAATATAGTTTGACTTCAATTTTCAAGTTATATACTAACTTTAGAACCTAACCCCTGCTTACCATAATACTCGACACCCAGTGTCACTGCGGGATGCTCACATGAGTAGAAGATATGCTACTCTACACTGAGCCAAATGTGACTTCCTGGAACTTCCACTCATTAGTACTGGTTCTGACTTCACAAGCCACACAAAATACTGTCAATCCAGCCTCCAAGGGACAGTCCAACAAAGCTTAAAGACAATGATCGGAGGTGGGAGGGGGAAAAAAAGAAAAAAAGACAATGATCATATCCCTGCCTAGGCCAAATGCCCATCTAGTCCTCACATGACAGTGCTAGTCAAATCCTAACTGTTCACCTTCATTTCAGTGCTCTCGGTGTGTCAGTGTTCCTCCTAAAGTGTGAAAATTCAGTACCTGACATAAAATTGTGAACTGCAGAATCAACTAGTTCCACTTTGTCAACAACAGAATGATGAGTTTTTTTTTCAGTTGCACTGGACCCACAGCTTGCATGTCACGAGCACGTGCAGATGAATCAAGTGTGCACAACTGGTGACCCCAAAGCCAGGGAACAAAAAGGTCCACTGCATAGGGAACCAAGACACCTGAACCAAGGAGCATGGACCAAATTAAGAAGTGAGGGGAGCTGCTGCAATATGAACTTAAGTGCCAAGAACCCTACACTGCCTGTCTGCATAACCAATCAAACCACGCCTCGATCCATTTTCCTAGCTCCCTCACAGTTACTCTCTTCCTATAAAACACAGATCTCATCTGGGGGTGACAGCTTCAAGTGCTACCTCCTGTCGATCTTGCCATAAAGTTGCTTCTTTTCTTGAAAGCTGGTGCCATCGTATTGACTTCTATGCACTTGGGGCATTGAGCCTATTGCTCAGTGACAGTATTCCCACTTTCCTCTTAATAGCTCAGAGTGCCATGAGATCGATAACTTCCCAGACCTGAATACTAAAAGTTATATAGCTATTAATCCAGGCAAGATGTATCTTGTGTAAACTTTACCGAATTGCTAGGAAATCACAATGGGCTAAGCCCTCTAGCAGCAGTACCCTTGTGGTTTAGATTCATCAGGCTGTCTCCAGTGACTCTCTTCCTAAGGTCTGTGCCATTCATTAGCAAAAGCTCAGAAGCCACTCTTTCTTAGTAAATCCTCCTCTTTTCATCTTTTAATAAATATTAACCCTTTATATTTACACACCAATTTCCAATTCTGTGTCAAATATTCTGATATTTAAGTGCAAGGCACGGCAGAAGTTACAATTTCCAATTTACAAATGAAGAAATGGAGGCTCAGACAGGTCAGGTGACTTGCCTGGGACTATATTGCTAGTAAATGGCAAAGTCAGGATGACAACCAGAGTCCTCTGTTTCCAAAGCTAGAAAACGTCCTACCACATACCCTGTCTCATCTTTCTGCATGGGCAGTGAAAGAACATTTGAAATGTGGGCAGAGACATAAGGGTTCAAATTCCAACCTTGCTGCTGCCTGGCTGCATGACCTTGTGCAGTTACTTAACCTCTCTGTGATTCCTCTGCCTCATTTGTAAAATGAAAGAGCTCTCCTCCTCTTCACAGAGCAGCTGTGATGATCAGACAGGGTAACTTAAGTGAAACAATGTATACAGCACCACGGCCACTACCTCATGTCCAATCTCTGTTGACTGCCCCATTTTTTATTGGGATCTACCACATCTGGGGCAGTGCCCTGCGGTGGCATGGAAAACCAAATAATACCTCAGGGAGCATTAAGATTACTGAAAAATACATTAATACATTGAAAATATAATGGTCATTTATACTCAACCATGAAGTTTCCATTGACAGTAGGTAGATCAAATATGTACTGAAGAAAACAACTGTTATTAACTTAGCAGGAAGGAAATTTTAGTTGGAATTGCCTATGTGGTGAGGTAGAATGTCGGGATGAGTGACAACAGGATTAAAATTCAGAGATACAGCAAAGTAATGGAAACTGAAATTTATTTCACAAAGTCATTGGCCTATAAAGAATAAAGATTTCCAAGATCTCCTCTTGGCTTTTTATTCCACAACTGATGATTCTCTATCTTCAACTCTCATTATCTGTAAACTGTTTGGAAACAGATTGTGTGTTACTGTTCTTTAAGTTCCCAACAGTTTCTTACAAAGTACTAAATATCTAAAGCAGGGGTATCAGATATGATTTGGCTGAATCTGCAACCAAATCTCATCTTGAATTGTAGCTCCCATAATCCCCACGTCATGGGAGGAGCCCAGCGTTAGGGAACTGAATCATGGGAGCGGGTCTTCCCTGTGCCATTCTCATGATAGTGAATAAGTGTCACGAGATCTGATGGTTTTACAAAGGGCAGTTATCCTGCACATGCTCTCTTACCAGCCACCATAGAAGCACAACTTCACTCCCTTTTCACCTTCCACCATAATTTAAGGCCTCCCCAGCCATGTGGAACTGTGAATCCATTAAACCTCTTTTTCTTTATAAATTATCCACTCTCAGGTATTTCTTCATAACAGTATGAAAATGAACTAATACAGTACCCAATATTTTGGGTTCCCTGGGCCCCACTGGATGAAGAATTGTCTTGGGCCACACATAAAATATACTAATGCTATTGATAGCTGATGAGTTTTTAAAAAAAAAAAAAAAGAAAGAAAGAAAGAAAGAAAGAAAGAAAGAAAAATCACAAAAAAATGTCATAATGTTTTAATAAAGTTTACAAATTTGGGTTGGGCCTCACTCAAAACCATCCTAGACCACATGAAGCCCAAGGGCCATGGGTTGGACAAGCTTGGCCTAAAGGGTTTAGTAAGTACTCAAATATTTTTGATTGCCAGATTAGAGGGGATAAGTTCAAACTCATTACTAAAGCATATATCACCTATTTTTATGATTATCTGATGGTGTATGCTAGAAACATTTTGAAAATGTCCTTACCACTAAATGCCATTTTTTCAATGACAGATGTGGGGGGTAAATAAAAAGCTTTGCAACTTTTAAAGACGGCATATAGGTTAGACTGAATGGTTACCAGATATTCTGTCACAATTACTTATTATAAGGTACTTTTGGATTCACTTATTAACAAATATTAATCGAACACCTTCGGTGCCAGGCACTATGCCAAGCACCAGGGAGAAGTAAGCTTAATCTGACTTACCTTCAAGTGTTAAGCTTTCATTTTAGAATATGAGATGAGACATGTGCCTGAACAATGTAATAAAAACCAACAGAATTGATGAGAGAGAGAAACAGGGAGACAGACAGTGCTAAGAGAGCTCCGAGGAGAAAAAAGTTACTTTCCAACGGCGAAAATCAGGCTAAACAAGGTGGCTACCTTGCTATATCCCCTCGGTAGAGAGACTTGTACTCCCAGTTTGCAGGATCTGGTTTCTTATCTGTTCTGAAGGTTTCTCCTGTCACAGCCTGAATGTCCTCAAGCCAAACAAAGCGATGTCCAGTATCAGCTGCAGCATTATTTCCTTGACTGTGGGACAAAGGAAGAAGGGACTTTAAAAATCTTCCACTGACACAGTTGGCATTTTCAGCAATATTAAACACTTCGAATTCCACATGGCATCAAATATATCGAAATACATAAAATGTACATGTGCCATAGAGATGGAAGAGGACTCTCGCTCTGGGCAAAGAGTTTTAAAAAATAAGGGAAGGCTGGGCGTGATGGCTCACGCCTATACTCCCAGCACTTCGGGAGGCCGAGGCAGGCGGATCACGAGGCCAGGAGTTCAAGACCAGCCTGACCAACATGGTGAAACCCCATCTCTACTAAAAATACAAAAATTAGCCAGGCACAGTGGCACGCACCTGTAATCCCAGCTATGTGGGAGGCTGAGGCAGGAGAATAACTTGAACCCAGAAGGCAGAGGTTGCAGCGAGCCAAGATCGCACCACTGCACTCCAGCCTGGGCGACAGGGTGAGACTCTGTCTCAAAAAAATAAGTAAATGATAATAAAGCAAAACCTGTCACCACTAAATGACACTCTACCAACAAAAGAAGTCTTCTTGTCTCAAAAATTAACCCGAATAATACAGGTATACAGGAGTTCTTTTAAATATTTCATTAACATTACTGTAACTTGAATTTCCTGTATATTTATAAACAAGGTCTTTTCCTAAAAAGTATTCCTGCTCTGAGGCACCTCGGAGGGCTAGGCAGAGGCAACTACCACACCTCCAAAGGTGACAACCACCGACATTAATGTGCACTGCCCTAACTTCACCTAACTTACTTGAAAGTGACTACTTTATTCTAACTCAAAATTTCTTTAAAAAGCCATGGTTCGGAACTGTTCAGCCTCCACTATTACTTAGGCTTGGTCTCAGCCTCATTTTTACAGTCTGGACTTTATTCACCGTTTTGCTTATACTTCTGGACCTCGTATGTAAAGGGCAGAATCACAAGACTCCCCGGAAGACAAGATCCTAAGCTATCTCTCTGAACCAATGTGTGAGCTGGCAGTCTTTCAGCTCAGATACAAAAGTAACCACTCCTGGGGCGTTGAGAGGGAGGGAAGGTTCCCCCCACCCCCCACCCCCACCCCCACCCCGCCCCCCGGCATCTAACATCTTCTAGAGAAAATCAGTTGATAATGCTACTGATACAAGAAGCTGCCAAAGTAGTCAAAACAGCCATTAACTTTTGTTCCATCTCTGCTTTTCAGCTCTGCCCAGGTAAAAATAAAGATTCTGGAGGCTTCTTAATTATTCTTGGCAGGCAATACAATGGAATGACATTTCAGAAACACTAAATAGCTACTCAATACATAGTTGTTGAATGATGAGCCTCAGGTTAATGTATGGAGATTTTAACACATCCCCCTTCAGAACAACTGCAGAGGGCTTTCTGTCTAAGGGCCAATGAAAAGATGGAGAGCTTACTGCAAACTGATTGAGCCATTCGAGAAAGAAATGGAAAGCCAACCGGAAGAAAAAAGTATAAGCCAGCTGCAGACCACTCCTGAGGCGTAATCAGGCATTTTCCTCTCCTACTGAGCTAAGGAAGCAGGATGTGGTAGTCTGGGCTCTGTGCGAGGAAGGAGGGGCCTCCACCTGAGGGTGAGGGAAAACTCATCCCAGAAATCCAAGGTAAGTTAGTAGCTGTGGCCTCTGGGGAAGCCATTCATCACCACCCTGAAACAGAGTCTCATGTGGTCTGCTACCCTCATGAACCCACTTTCCTGACATCATGGAAAGAGTCTCACAACTCCCTAATACTGTAGTCCTTGTCTATGTGGAAAAAATTCTTCCAAGTCACATTCTCAGGAAGAGAATACATAAGTTAATAACAAGAAAGTAAAAAAGAGGGACAAGACAATCGTAATAAGGTTATTCTATAAAATATCAACAAACTTAAAAATGCCATCTGAATCATAAAACTATCCAGTTTTATCTGGATCACAAAACTCTGAGCTGTAAAGATCCCCTGACATGATTCAGCATAGGCTGAAATTAACTATCCTTCAAGTTCTAAAGATAGTTCCTGTGCGGTTTCGGGAAATCCTTTAAAACTCATTTTCCTCAGCTATAAAAAAGGACAAGTGGCTAAAAGGCGAATTTTTGGGAAGACGTAACAATTAAAGTAGCTTGCTTTAAAGACACAGTAAAAAGTAAGGATACCAAAAACATATTCATTCATTCGTTGAACAAAAACGCATTAAGTGCTTACTCTGTGTCAGGCCCTGTGCACCAAGTACTGGGGGAATATAGTGGTAAGCAAGACAGGTCTGATTCCTGCACTCAAAAATTCAGTCAAATTCAGAACCTTTTGGCTCGACTGCTTTATTTGTTCCTCTAAAGAGCAAGCTTGGGTTGCAGGTAGAGCATCTGAGATACACAGAGGGCTGCTACATCAATCTGGCTCCTCTGAGCCACACCGGTCTCCAGTGCTCTCTAGCACAATCTGATGACAGAGGGATCCCCTAAGCCTGCAGTGACTGGCTCTCAGATGGAAGCATTAACGGCCAGGTTCCAGACTTGCTCTGACGTAGAGCTCTCACTGACATCAATGGGACTTCTAAGCACACAATGGAAGTAACTAACTCCTGAAGACCGGGCGCAGTAGCTCATGCCCGGAATCCTAGGACTTTGGGAAGCTGAGGCAAGTGGATTGCTTGAGGCCAGGAGTTCGAGACCAGCCTTGGCCAACATGGTGAAACCCCATCTCTACTAAAAATACAAAAATTAGCTGGGCGTGGTAGTGCATGCACTGTAGTCCCAGCTACAATGTATGCCTATAGTCTCAGGCTGAGGCATCAGACTCGCTTGAATCCGAGAGGCAGAGGTTGCAGTAAGGTGAGACGGCACCACTGCACTCCAGCCTGGGTGACACAGTGAGACTCCATCTCAAAAAAAAAAAAAAAAAGAAAAAAAATTCCTGAAGAGTTGCAAAAATATCAACAGCACTATTTCTTTTTTAAAGATGTTCTAGAGAAGTACCTAAGTTTTCTCTCTTCTAGACCATATGAGCAAAAAAAAAAAGAAAAAGTTAAATAAGCAACAATTCAGGTAGTTTCACCATATGCCACCTCTCCACCTACAGGCAAATACCCCTCTACTTAGGAAGAGTTCAACTAGGAACAGAGAAAAAGCTGTATTGAGCACCTATGCCGTAGCTGTTCTGCAGAATGCACTGAAATATACACTCAAGGTAGAAAGCAGAGTAGGCCAGGAGCAGTGTCTCATGCTCATAATCCCAGCACTTTGGGAGGCCGAGATGGGTGGATCAACTGAGGTCAGGTGTTCAAGACCAGCCTGGCCAACATGGTGAAACCCCATCTCTACTAAAAACACAAAAATTTAGCCAGTTTGGTGGCAGATGCCTGTAATCCCAGCTACTTGGGAGGCTGAGGCAGGAGAATTGCTTGAACCCAGGAGGTAGAGGTTGCAGTGAGCCAAGATCATGCCACTGCACTCCAGCCTGGGCAACAGGAGTGAAACTCTGTCTAAAAAAAAAAAAAAAAAAAAAAACAAACAGAAAGAAAGCAGAATAAAATGTGGGAGAAATAAAGCCCCCAAGGAATGGACATACTGTAGTCATGAACTGTTTTATACCACCTTCAACATAGTGGTCCTGAATAAATATGAAAAGGAAAAGGAAAAACATGACAATTATTTAAGTGCTATGTTAATCTTAAAATGTGTGTGATCATGTACACACACAGGAGGTGATAGGAGTGACTGGATGAAAGACACATCAAGGCAGAGAAAGAAGATTTTGTTCCTCTTACCCTGAGTGTGGAGACCCATGGCCCTCAGAAAGGGAACCCTTAACTATGCAGTTAACTGACTCACAGGCCCACTGCAGCACATCCGCCACCTTTTGAAAATCCCAAAGACTTTTTGTCTGAACCAGACTCACCCAATCATTACTGTGGTGTCCTAATAACATTTCTCAAATGAAATCATGTCCCTAATTTGTTCCTTTTCTTTTTTAAACTGATATAATGGTAGAGCTCTCTTCTGACTGACTGAACGGTTATTCAAATATCTAATTTGTGGCAACAATTAAAGGAGAAAAACTCAAGACTTAAAATATCATAGGGACTCAAGAAGAGCAACCTACTTCGGTTTCTCAGATTCCTTTTTACTGCCTCCGATGGTTCTGGAAGGTTTGTCCTTTTCAGAATCAGTGTCTGTCTCAGACCTGCTGCTACTCGACTGTCCATGTTTCCTCTTTGTTTTCTTATGATGCTGGTGCTTCCTTCTTTTCTTTTTCTCTTTCTTCTTTTTTCTGCTTGTTTGTTTGAACTTTTTGTTAGTGTCACTTTCATCTGAAGGCTCTGATTTCAGAGGACTCCTGTTTGGGAAAACCAACTTTAGAATTCGTTTCTAAAAAGACGTAGGAAAAATAATAACCCGTAATTAAGTCAACGAATAGTTAAGAGGGAACTCTATAAATGTTCACACAGATTTACTGTTTGCCTATATATTAGACAGTAACTTCCTGCATTACACCTCACCTGCAAGACTTAGGAACTGGACCTCAAATAAAAACACGTGAAGAAATTCTAATTTTAATAGTTTCTAAACCTATATTTCCACATTTATACATCTTTAAATGAAAGTAACCTACTACTTATCAAATATATACATATATATATTTTTTTTTGAGACAGAGTTTCACTCTCGTTACCCAGGCTGGAGTGCAATGGCGCGATCTTGGCTCACCGCAACCTCCGCCTCCTGGGCTCAGGCAATTCTCCTGCCTCAGCCTCCTGAGTAGCTGAGATTACAGGCATGCGCCACCATGCCCAGCTAATTTTTTTGTATTTTTAGTAGAGACGGGGTTTCACCATGTTGAGCAGGATGGTCTCGATCTCTTGACCTCGTGATCCACCCGCCTCGGCCTCCCAAAGTGCTAGGATTACAGGCTTGAGCCACCGCGCCTGGCCAAATATATTATTTTTAAGACATTATGAAAGGTTTGCTGGGTGCGGTGACTCATGCCTATAATCCTACTACTTTGGGAGGCCAAGGCAGGAGGACTGCTCAAGGTGCTTGGGAGATTGAGACAAGCCTGGGCAACACGGCAAGACCTCATCTTTATTTTTAAAAAATAAACTGATTAAATTTAAAGCAAGCATTGTAAAATGTTTATTTTCAGTGTCATATATTAAGCCAACATGAGGTTAATGGGAAAAAAAAAAAAGCACATTTAATTGTGGTCCTTGTTTTCAGAGATGACGACAAGCTCTTCTTCCTCATTACTGAAATATCTAATATCTACCAACTCCCTCTCATGCATCAACTATTCTCAATCTCCAAAGGCTTCTTACACATTTAGAGCACGGGGTTTCACAGCCTATTCACCTTATTAGTGAAACCACCTAGTCTATATTTGTGAGAGAGCTTATTTCTCAGTTCAATGGTCTAAAACAAAATTCCTTCACAGCTGAGGAGAGCGATGTGCCATCTTGCTTTCCCTGATGTTTTCAGGCCATTTTTAATCTTATATTATACAAGCTCCCTCTATTTTTACAAAAGGGTTGAAAATGCAGCTAAAGAAATATCCGAATTATGATATTCTAAAGGTTACTAATGAGGTTAGTAAAGTTACTTGAGAATCACAATGATGCCATTTCCCTCTTGGCCTAATTACAGGCACTAACTGTGTCATGTACTTGCCACTGCAAAGCAAAGCAAAGAAACAGTACAAGAGGTAAGGAAAAACAGTCAAAGATTACCTCATTACTTTAAGTAAGAGTTTGACATAGCTCTTTCATTAGAGTTTTCTAAGGAGCATCATTTCAGCTAAGCTATAGACAGTAAGCTGACAAAAACGAAAACTCATCTGTCAAACAAAAACTACCTTGACAGTGGTGACCCTTCAGAAACATGGGCTGTGGCTGCTTCAGTTTGTTGGCTCCGGGACGTTATGGATCCGACACAAAAGCTTGGGTTGCTCAGCCAGTCTAACTCTGCACAGATAAAAGGAGAAAAGATCAATGAAATTAACTCAATATGATTCTAAAGCAGGAGATCTATCCATCTCATCAGCTGACATCCTAATTCACAGCCAATGTCAGCCAGACATTTTGAACAGTCAGTCCAAAGTCCACAGAAGCTGAACAGAATCCATGAAATTTTTATTTCACAAGGCATGGCTTTAATACACTCTAAAATATTCAAGGCAGAAATCCTTCTGTGATATGAAGCTGCAGCTTAAGCAAAAGCCACGTAACAAGTACAGCCTAAAAGGCAACAAGGCATGATGCATTCCATCCATCCATAGTGTCTAATGAGTACGAATGTTTCCAAAGCATTAGGCTTTTATGACCTCAAATTTGATTCAGACCATTCCTAATTGTATTAATCCATTCTCCCACTGCTACAAAGAAATACTCAAGACTGGGTAATTTATAAAGGAAAGAGGTTTAATTGACTCGAAGTTCCACATAGTTGGGGAGGCCTCAGGAAACTTACAATCGTGGTGGAAGGCGAAGGAGAAGCAAGGACCTCCTTGACGTGGTGGCAGCATAGAAGAGAGTGAAGAGCCAAGGGGGAAGAGCCCCTTACAAAACTATCAGATCTCATGAGGACTCACTCACTATCATGAGAACAGCATGGGGAAAACTGCCCCCAGGATCCAATCACCTCCCACCAGGTTCCTCCCTTGATGCATGGGGATGAAAGGGATTACAATTCAAGACGGGGGGGGGGGGGGGGGGGGGGGGGCGGGGGGGGCACACGGAGTCAAACTATATCAATAACTGCATCTTAGTAAAGAGAAGACACCAGAATGTATGCTTTTTGACAACAGGTACTGTTTTAATCACTGGCTTATAGTAGGTATGCAACAAATACTTGTGAGAAAGACGAAGGAAGGAAAATCCCAAAGAAAGAAAGGCATATTAAACAGCACAGAAAAAAGAGAAAGAAGTGAGAGATTCTAACTTAAGTGCCTACAGCAGGCCAAACACCAGACTAAGCACTTACATCCTTTTCATCTTTTAATCCTCACAACAGGGTGCTATGGGAGGTATTATGATCACCATTTTACAGAAGAGGAAACTAAGACTCAAAGGGGTTAAGTAATTAGTAAGGTCACACCTACTAAATGCTAAACAAATGCTCATGCAGCCTTCCACTGTCTTTTTCCTTCTGAGGTTGGCTCCCTTCACTTGGGGCTACTTCTTGGCAAAAGATATGTGAAACTAGTTCCTATTGCTCACTGAGATCAAAATTACTTCCACAATAATCAGATTCTATCATGAACCAAAAAAAGTGGAAAAAGACAGAACAAACAGTATTCAGGAAAAGATGCTCTCAAACAATTCCAGTATATTTCTACATAAATATTCTAGATAGTGATGACAGCTGGAAGAAAATGTAAAGAAATACAGACATCACAACGTACCATGTGTGACTCTTCAAAGTCCTTCAGAAGACAAAAGAAAGGCTTTTTAAATTTGAGAGATGGGGTCTTGCTGTGTTGCCCAAGCTGACCTCAAACTCCTATACTCCAACAATCCTCCTGCTTCAGCCTCCCAAGCAGCTGGGACTACAGGCAGGCCACCACTGTGCCAGGCTTTTGAAGATGCAATTGAGGCTTTGCCGTATGGCACTACTGTGGGGGGAAAATTTCAGAAAGAGATAAAACTCAGCCAACACATCTACTATATTAGCACTTTGGGAAGCCGAGGGGAGGAGATCACTTGAGCCCAGGAGTTCAAGACCAGCCTGGGAAACATAAGCAAGACCCCATCTCTATTTTAAAAAGGAAAGGAAGGAAGGAAGGAAGGGAAAAAGAAAAGAAAAGAAAAGTCTTGGGTTTTGAACCCGAATCCTCATGGACCCTCTGTGACCTTCATGCCAATGGAATGACCTTCTGCAGAGCAAAATTTATTTTCACCTGACAAGAAGTTGTGTTTTATTTTTTGATAGCATATTAACAGTGGACATGCATGAAATATTAGAAGTAACAATCACTGTGTGCCAGGCCTGGAAAGATTTTGGAAGTCCTCTAGTCCATGGACTTTCAAAATTTCTTAGGCAAGGAACCCGCTTTTCAAATGGAATCTCCCAGAGAAGTCCAAAATGAAGAACAGAAAAGGCAGGGATGTTCTCTAGTTGGGAGTTCAGAGGGAGGAGCTGGGTCTGAGAAAGCTCTTCAGAGCACAGCCTGGACACCTCCGCCTCACTTACAGACCAACAGCTGGAGGCCCAGCTATGGCTATGGGCACACATCTGAACCTGAATCTGTGACTCTTCATCCAGTTCCCTCCACCCCACACCATGGAGCTTCTCTTCACTTCCTCAACTAGGGAGGCTGGTTCTCCTAAAGCCTCCCTGCAATTGGTACATGGGGCTTTTATGGCAATCTTCACATTGTAATCTCATTATCTTCCCACTATACTCTAAGCCAAGGGTCAACAACTCAAATCCTTATAGAGACCAGATTAGTAATGACTGCTGAGATACTACAGAAGTGGCAAAAGAAAAAAGAAACAAAAATATTCTGCCAAACAAATAACCAACTGGCTTACAACTCCTACATCCAAGTTTCCAGCTCCCTCCCCTCCTCCCACCTGTCACTTCCCAAACTACAGGCCCCATGAGGGCTGAGGCCATGACTATTCACTACTGTACTCCCAACTCCTAGCACAGTGCCTTGGTACAAAGCAACTGGACTCGATAAATAACTGTTGAATAAATAAAATGAATGAGAATATGGACCACATCTTTGCATGTTTATATCCCCAACACCTAATCAAATGAACAAACTGAAGAAATTTGAAATCTTCAACAAAAAAAAAATCCATTATCTGGGCATAAAGTGCAACTAGTATAATTCTTCCTTTCTTCATTGTAAATGTATATTTAAATATTACGTAAGTTTACTGAATACCAACTACATGCCCAGGCACAGGTCTAGGTATTGGGGGTACAGTGGGGAACAAGAAAGGTTCTGCTCACATGGTGCTTACAATCATAAGCTTCACTGTCAAATAATACACTTGGAGCCAGGCACGGCGGATCATGCCTGTAATCCAAGCACTTTGGGAGGCCAAGGCAGTAAGATGACAAGGTCGACCAGCTTGGCCAACATGGTAAAACCCCTTCTCTACTCAAAATACAAAAATTAGCCAAGCATTGAGGCGGGGGGGGGGGGGGCGCCTGCAGTCCCACCTACTTGGGAGACTGAGGCAGGATAATCGCCTAAACCTGGGAGGCAGAGATTGCAGTGAGCTGAGATTGCACCACTGCATTTCCACCTGGGCGACAGAGAAAGACTCCATCACAAAAACAAAAAAACAAATACATTTGGATTGTTAAATTCAACAGAATTCTGGAGAAAGCCATCCGAGATGAAAAGATGCTTTATTAATCAGATTGCAAAGTCCTTTTCAATAATTACATCCTCACATAATTTACATACTTGATGGATATAAAATATGTACATAGGTAATTATGCCAATACTAAGCAAGATGTAACATTTATAGAGACGATCGGCAGCACACCAAATGCCTATGGTTTAAGAAAGAGAATCCCACTGGCTGACAAATCTCAGGTTGTTAGTAAATTACAAGTTGGAATGTGCCTGGAAATTAACACTCTGCCATATATTTTATTATGCATACACACCAAGAAATGTGGAAACCTCAGGCAGAAAAACCACTTTAGAACTACTGCCTAACAAAAACAGGCAGGTATCTGGTAGAAATGTTAGCATGTATAAATTTTCAGGGTAATTTAACAGAAAATAATATAATGAATCATCGCTGAATAATTTAAGCTGAAATACTTTTTATGAACATTTATTATGTAACCCTATTTCTCCATCACTAGTGAAAATGCTTTAATTCAATTACATTACACATAGAGGGAGGAAAAAATTGCCATAAAAAGATTTGAACTTTAAAATAGATTTTAAATTATAATTGGACAGAAGACCCAAGTTCTACATCCATTTCCCTTTTATTATAACAAAATAGCACTGATTACTAGTTTGTTTAGGTGAACTCAGAGGAAAGTGCTCCTCCAGAGATGGCAATTCAAAAACATTTCTAGGGCCAACTATATAAAGAAAGTAGTGTATATATTATGGAAGAGATTTGTTCCTTTAAAATGAATAAGACAAGCTCTTAGTTTTGATTGGAACTCTCATTTTCTGACAAAGGATCTGGGAGCACAAACTTATTTATACAAAAAGCACCAGCAAACATGGCTGAGAACTGCATTTAAGATGATTGTTCCGGAGAACCTGAGCAAAGCCAGCCCTTCCAAGGCAGTCAACCTACCATTTGAAGAGGCCCAGTAATTCCAAAGGTATTATATAAAGGACCAAAACCCCAATGTTCTAATATCATAGCACGGTTTATAACACAAGCTCTGTAGTTGGAAGGACCTGTGTTCAAACTGGTTGTTTCTTAGTTGTGCAACTCTGAACGAAATCATTTCTCTGAGTCTCTTTTTTTTTTTAATTGGGTAATTTTTAAACTAACAGCCAGGTGCTGCTCTAGGTGCTAGGAATGCAAGATGAGTAAGACAAACCCAACACTACCCTCATGGTGCTGTCCTACTAACCGTCACTTACACACAATGTGACAAATTCAGAGAGAGAGAAAATATACAGGGAATAATGACAGCACGTCCCCTAATTCAAACAAGGTCTGGATCAGAGAAAGCTGCCTAAGAAAATATCTCAGCTAAGATCTAGAGGAGGAGGAGTGAAGGAATTAGGCTCCTAGAACGTGTCTGGGAAACAGACACTGAGAAATAGCATAAGTGACTGTGGCTTGGCCACTGGGACGGAGGGGAAATAGGGGCAAAATGAAGCAGGAGAGGTAGGACCTTAAAAAACATGTTTGAGAGCTTAGTATTACCCTAAGAGCAATGGGCAGATAGTCACGTTTTGAATGAGAGTGACGAAATCAGATACACCGTTTGAAAGATCAGCAGCAAAGAGTAGTTTTA